ATGTTATTTAATTTAAATAAATAAATAAAAGTAACTTATATTATACTAATGATACATTATTATTGAAATATTCACACTTTCAAAAAATTTAAATAATATAAAACAATATACTAGAATTTGATTGTATTGATTTTTGTTTTTTACAAATAAAACTAACAATCATTARAACCATATCAATTGCAACACATTTTGTTTGAAAAATTTACATCAAATTTAGTATAATAAATGCTATAATATATTTTATTATACCAGTATATCATTTTATATTATGATATATCCCTCAAATCTAATGTAGAATTTTTTCCATTTTAAAATTTATATCAAATTTATAATTCGTTAGTTTTTTTTATTTTAAAATATGTTAATATTTATAAAAATACCACTAACATTTATTGATAAATTTAAATGAAATAAAAATTAATAAACTGTTATTAGTAATTTATTTAAAAAATTAATATTTTTATTTCAACACGTTATTGAGAAAAAAATAAAATGTCATTATAATAACAAAAATAATTTGTTTATTCAAAAATAAACAAATTATAGTAAATAATAATGTAAAGAAATGTCAATTGTTTTTAATATAAACATCAAACATTGAACAGAAAATTCTAATTATATACTTGAAAACATTAATTAATATTTAATTCAATTTTAATTATGTATTTATACATTTAATTATAATAAATTTGTAAGTATAATTTTGTTATTTTTTCAATTACTTTTATAGATTGTATTGTACAGTGAAAATCATCCCTATGTATTAAAAAATAATAAATTTATAAAGTAAAAATATATTGTAGATATTATATGTTATAATATATTATATGTGACAAAATATTTCTTACGTCTATTGATATATGATTGAAAATATCCGATTTAAAAATATAATTCAAATTTTAAATTCAATTAAATTTTTATTAATACAAAACACGAACTAAATTTTAAAAGTAAAATATAAATAGTAGACAATATAATTTTGTTTATAAAAAATGTTAATAAGTTTAACAGTAAAACTATAATTATAAAAAGAAATTCATATAAAAATTTTCTAAAAAACTACCATCGTCAAATTTTTAGTTATGTTGTTAATTTCAGCAAATAAACAAAAAAAAATATATACTTTTACTTATCACTATTTAAACTGCAGTTTTAACTATGTGTGAAATTACAACAATCAATGTGTTATATATACAAAAGTATATACCAAAGTTGTTCTCAAAATTTATGCTAATTTATCAATTTTAAAAATTCAATACTGTTTTGATATTATTATGATATTATAAATGTATGTATTATAAATTTTGTGTTGCAAAAATGCAAAATAATTGAAAATCAATAACTTAATACTACATTAATAATGAATATAACTTTATTTTGCAATTAGTTTTGTGTGTATGATTCAAATATTGTATTTTATTAAACAGTATATATATATATTTAGAATTTTAAACTTTTCTTAATTTATAAATTGATATTTTAATTATTTTTACGATTGTAATGTCAGTATTTTTATAATAATGTTAAATTACATTCTAATATAAATAACTTATTTATTGGTTTGGAGTTATTATAATTGTAAATAATAAATATTGAGAATTAAGATCCCTTGGGCTAACAGTTTATTACTAACTTTGTGTAAATTTGCATAATTTTTATTAAAGTACTAAATTAAATAGTTTAACATTAGTTGAGTACTTAATATTCAATAATATATTTTGAAATGTGTTTTGTTATAGTAATGTGAGGACTGAGGGTATATTAGTATAGAACGGTGTCTACAGTATAATGATTTAGTGAATGTTTGGGCATATAGTATGTATAGATGAGTCAAATGTTTGTAAAGCGGTTAAGGTATGTAACGTTAGTAAACTGTATGACCACTGATTGATTGCATTTAATGACTACAGTATTGTATTAGTGTTGAGATCCGAACCACGGATAGACCAGAATTGCATTTATAAATAATAATAACATTAGAAACAAAATTATCATAACTTTCAATAAGAGAAAGAATTTAGAGTTTACATATAATTATTATAGAGTATATTATATATATATATATATATATATATATGAAAAATAAGAGTAGTTATAAATAATTTTAATAATTTATAATTTAAGGTATTATTACAAGTTAGATAAGACACAATGCGATATCTGATTCAACTGTAATATTGACTTAAACTTTAAAAAGATTTTTAAATAGTTATCAAATTAGGATCAATTCATCAATAATAAAATAATTACAATTTATTAATAATAGTTATATTATATGTTATTAAAAATATTACCTAAAAAATAAACAAATTATCTAAAATACAAATTAAACCTACATTTGAGCTGCTATGTTAAATAGATTATGTTGTTTAAAAATTTAAAAACTATTAAAAAATACATTATCATATTTATTTCATTAATCAAGACATTATTTAAAAATTATTTGTATCTAAACTTAATTTTTTATTACATTTTAAGCTAAACTTTAATAATGTACCGAAAATTTATTTTTTTATGGTTTTTCTCCAAAACATTATTCGGGAAAACAAAGCATTACTTTAATGTATATAATTTTTAAAATAAAATGTTTGCCTAAAACATTAAAACTAAAATTGCAAACATTTATAAATAATTTAAGTTAAATAAATATTTAATTCAATGTATTTTTCAATAACATGTAAAATTTGTAAACATTTTATGAATATAAATATAGGTGCTGAAAAATTATTTAAAGGTGAACTTATTGCTAAACATAAATTTAATATTATATCATTACATTTATTATATATCTAAATATTGATATAATATTGATATTATTTACATAAAATGTAAACTTTGTCAGTAACTGTATGATAAAGATTATTTTTTATTATATTTTTATTATTTATTATATTAAATAAATTTACGATATTCAGTTTTAAAACAAATGATACTAATATTAAATAAATATTATTATATTATCTATAATATCAAATAGCAATTAGGATGAAATATATATATGTCTATACAATTGTTATAAAAGTTGATTAAATTATATTAATTATTGTTATTTTAAAATAATGTAAATTATAAATACAAATAAGTTGTATGTCTAATGAGTTTGTAAATGTCTAAATAAGTTTAATGGATGTTAAAAATAAGACATAAAATATTTCAGAAAGCATTTATCAATACTTAAAGATAACAAGTTTTGTGTGTAATTATTAATAGTTAAAATTATTTATGTAATAAAAAAATATTATTATAAACACATTTTTTCAAATTGATATCTTCAACATTATCAATTAATCAATTATGTCTTATTTATAAATATAATTTGTAAATAAATTATAATATAAATTATTAGAATTAAAAGAAATTTAATATAAATATATAAATTAATTTAGATATTTGTACAATAGTTTAAAATTAATTGCTAATTAAATATATTAAAAATAGTTTTTTTTAATAACTATATAATTTTTATCATTTATATCATTAATATTTATTAAAGTAATTTTGATATTTTTCAATTAAAAATACTGTAAAATTTTAAAACTTACATAAAAGCAAGTAATTATAGTGTATCATTGTTGGTCTCGAAATATACAGTATATACTGTACACATATTTAATAAATTAATTAATACTTAATTAACAAACTGACTACAATCTAATTAAAAAATAAATAACAAATTGTTTGATTATCGTTATATCATATCTCAGTACAATAATATACAGTTTCCAATACTTTAATAGTTTTTTTTATAATAGGAATATTTGTATTTTGGATAAATTGAATTTATATTAATCTACTGAATTAGATATAAAAATTGCTTTAATACACCAAAATGTTAGCTACAATAATAAATTGTTTGATTAACAGAAAATATTTACTTGAAAGTCATATTATACAGTATATACTGTATAGTATATAATGTCATATTACTTTATAAAATATATACTTACAATCAAAACAATTTTATTTACATTTAATGTTTATTTTTTTTTAAACCAAAACCTAATCTTCGGATTGATTGGTATTTTACTTTTTTTTAAGTAATATTATATCTTAATATATGGTCAATATAATAAAGTCAATATAAAAATGTGATACATATCAATGATAAGATGACATACAATCAAAATAATTTAAAGCAATATCATAAAAACTTTGTAAAAGCTTTTATGGTATTATATAAAAATAAATAAATACAGTCGTCACACAAACTATCTTAATATTATATATTTTTTAAATATTAAACAGATTGGAATACAATATATTTTTAATTTTAAATAATTTATATCAATTTAAATTATTATTATTATTTAATTTATTTACATTAATTTATTTAAAAAATATTAATATTTATTTTTAATTAAATTAATAAACTGAGTTAATTTATTTATTTTATTAATTATATTATTTTTATTAGTCAATAAAATTTTAAGTATATTGTAAATCATAAAATTAATTAAATTATAGATTGACTTTAATTAATAATTTTTAATATATTGTATTGAAATTTGTCAAATGATATAATATTTAACAAATTAAATGTTGAATTGACACCAAATGCTATAATAGTATCCGTTAGGGTTATACAGTGTAAAGTTTTTTCAATATTTAAATACAATAAATATTTTTTAATTTATGAGTTTCAACAACATTTTGTAACCATCTTATGATCTTTTAGATGAAAATACATTATTTTATTGTTTCATTTTTCTTTTTATACAATTGTAATTTTATTTAATATAAAGATTCTTATATTTATGAAAAGTAGAATACATTAGTTTAATAAAAAAATATATACTTTATATATACTTAATATATATTTCTATTATTATAATTATTTAACATATAAAAAGCGCGTTTGTAATAAACTTTGAGATTTTCATAAACAAACAAAACAAAAATATTTTCACCTAATTGTATATATTATATAATATAAAATATTATTATTATTATTATTAAGTATAAAATATTATATTATAATAAAACAATTATATTATTTACAGAAAACGATTTAGAGGACGAACTGTTTATATTTACTCGCTATAAACCGGGAGGATTGGACTCACTCTGTAAAGGCAGTCATTTCAATAAAAAGGAGATTCGCCTAATGTATCAGGGATTCAAACAAGTAATCATTTTATATATATATTACAATAGTTATTATAATTATTATTATTGTTTAAATCTACAGTAATTAGCACATATAATATTTAATAGTAAATTTTTTATTTATTATTTTATTTATAATATTTTTTTATAATATTAGTTTCTATCGCTTGCGGAAAAATAATTGTATAAAAATGTAATTTTTATAACTTAAAAAAGATTTTTCTGTTATTTAATGAAATAGGAAACTTACTTTTAATATACATGTATTTTTATGTAAACACTTTTTTTTAATAATACATTATATTAAAACATATTGTATTAATAAAAGTACAGTACATACGACCCAAATTTGTTAGTTACCAGATATTTAATAACATCTAAAATTTAAATAAAATTTTATGTCTTTTTTAAGTAAGTCTTATATTTTACATATAATGCGATAGTAATTCGGAATTTTAATGAATTTTGTGGTTTTTAAAATAAACTATTAATTTAAATTATATATTAAAGTGAAAATTTCAATTTATTTTGTTTTTGCTATTTTAATAACATTTTTATTATTTAACATTTTTGTCTATTTGCTTATTTTTATTATTATTATTAGTGTTTAGATTTTGTAAAATAAAATTTTAAAAATTCTAACTTTAATATTAATATTTAATATTTTAATAGTTTCATATAATTATTTAATAAAAATAAATGAAGTATTTTATTTATATAATAAATATATTATAATCTTTAATTATTATACAATACTTACAGTTACTTATGTACTGTATTAATATTATCGTTAATTACTGTATAATAAATAAAACATGAAAATATATATAATTAAATATTTAGCATTTTATCTAAATATAATGCAATAATTTTCAAAAGTCTTTAAAAACAATGACTATATCTACAGTACTATAGTTATAATACGAGTATAAACAGTAAAAATAATTTAGTATTAAAAAATATGTTACTGGAAAAAATTATAAATTAATCCGATAATTAATTTCTAAATTACTTAAGCCGATGAATATTTTATACTTATTTTAAACAATAAATAACTAATTTTTGATATTAATTTAAAATATTACCAAGATAATTCATTGTACTTTAAATGCTATGCAAAATAAACTATAAATTTATAATATTTTTAAGATTTCCACAACAAATCGATGTTTTCTAAGTTATAAATAAATATTTTGGTAGTTTTTAGTAAATATTATCGAATTTATATTAAATATTTTTTAATTAATATAAATTAATTATTATTAATTTAAATCAATAATTATTCATTTATATAAATATTTTCAATAGCTCTAAGTTATTCATCGCATTGTTAGATAATAATTTTTATGTTTTGTATTGTATTGTATTGTTTAAATATATAAATTTATTTTTATCATAAAAATATAAATGAGAATATAATAAAATGTTTTATTTTATTTATATAAAGTATAAAAATTATATAAAAGTATTATATACAGTTGTAAACATAAGAAAATATTATTTTTTGTTATTACAGTAATAATATAATAGATATTTTGATTTATGAGCCAAATATAGTTTTTATATTTTATTATTATCATTATTATTATAAACAATTATTATACTAAAATGCTGTAAAATTCTGAAAATTGAAAGATTGTGTGATTAGTAGTTAGAGTTGGCAAATAAAGAAATATTTCTAAAATAATAGAGAAATTTCTGGAAAGTTTTTAAAAGAAATTTCTGTTTAAGGGATCCCCATATTAATTTTGTTGTCTTGATATTTGATATTTTTAAACAATTCATTATAATTAAAAATATTAACTAAATTTTATTATTAATATTTTAATTATTATTCAAAGTAAAAAGATAGTTCATTTAATTACATTAAACCAAAAATATAAATCAATTATAAATTAAATTTTACAACAATTAGATGATTATATTAATTTTATAAATAAAAATTTCATTAATATAGTAGTGTAATGTATATTATGTATCATCAGTACAGTATTACTAATAGCTATAGATATGGAAATCCCATAGTATAATGATAAAGTTAAATTTCTATAGAAATTTATTCATGAGAAACTTTTTAGAAATTTTCTTAAGAAAATTTATTAGAAAATTTCTATTTGTCAATCTCTATTAGTAGTGACTTTAAGACAGATTTTTATCTGTTTAAATGTACTAAACTCTGTAAACAAGCAAATGGTTTAGTTTTGTTTTTAAAAATCTCAACTTTTTGTTAGATCATAATTTCAACCAATTTTTTTATAATCTATAATTCAATATTTTTTCTAAGGAGTGTCCATCAGGATTCTGTACTGAAGAGGATTTTAAGCTTATTTTTGCTAAATATTTTCCACAGGGAGGTATGTTATTATGACTTTACTCAATATAATTATTAACATTTTATATTATACTAAATAATATGTTTTTTTTGTCTCAATTTATACGATCAGATGCGACAAAATACGCACATCTTGTCTTTAAGACATTTAAATCATTGAGTTGTCATCAAACAGGAGTTCTTAACTTTGAGGTATTATTTATTGTTGTTTATATACATAATAAATACATTTCATATTTATATATATTAGATACCAATAAAAAGCTTTCAATTTTTATATATTCAGTACTTAGAAATGTTTTTATTTATTAATGCATAATATTTTTCATATAAATAAGATTTGATGAAAAGTTTATTTCCTTTAGTAACATAACGTATAATATTATACATTTGTAAGTAATAAAGTATCAGAATTTCAGTCAAATGTCAAATGTGTTTATAAATTATAACTTATTTAAACTGATTTTCTGTAGATATACTCTATATTATAGAGTCTATAAAATACATATAAAGTTAAAATATTATGGATATTAAATGTTTGTTCCGTAAGATATATAAATATATTTTTAGTTAATTACATATTTACTGTATATTGTCGTGTAAATAATTATACCCTTTTTTAGTATTATGGCATTTTATAAACTTTGTATTTGATGTAATGAGTAATTAGTCAATTAGTCAATGTAATTGTAACAATTTTATTTAAAATAATCTTTATATAAATATATTTAAATACAATTATTTTAATACTCATTGTTTTAAATATTGTAAATATTATTAACAATTATCTGAACCGCAGAACATTATTTTTGTCGGATTTTACTATTTAACTAATATTAATAAATTTATACCTTTTATGTTTACCACAAATTAATGATTTATCACAAATATAATGTAAGATAATAGATAATTAGATACTTTTAATTTACGGTTAATATTTAATATTTTTAACAATATTTAATATTATCTAAGATTAAATTAATTTTTAAAAATTATTTCTTTAAAATATATATGAACAAACTTTTTATATTTTTATATTACAGAAAACTAAATTTAATTATTTTAGTTATTTAATTATAAGATATTTTTATAAATAATTAATTAGTAACATAAAAATAATTTATATATTATAAACACGAATTCAATTATGTTGTCATTCAAAAGTCAAGGATACGAAAAATTGTTTTAAGAGCTCTTTTAGTTTATTTTTAAATTTATTAATAATATTTCAAAATTATTTTTAATCAATTTATTTCTAATACATTACTAATTATAATGAGAAAAAATTTAAATAATACAATTTGTATAAGTAATACAAAATTTATAAAATACACATCTATTTGAATTATTTTATTTAAATTTTTTTTAATTAGATTTATCATTTAATGAATACAAAATTAATGCAAAAATGTTTTTTTTAATATATATATAGCAATTTTTAAACATGTTATCATCACTATCTCGAGGCTCATTGCTTGGTATGTATATATTGTAATTATACAATTTAGTATATAAAATATTATATAATTTACTGTAAATTTTTAAAAAAATTATTTAATTTTAACGAAAAAAATAATATATTAATTTTTATACAGTACTTTATGCAACATAAAATTTATTTACATAAAACACATTTAATTAATTTATTCAAATAAAAAATTATTGATTTTAACTTAAAAACTAATTTAACATTGATTGATATAATCTATAATCCAATTCCTTACAATAATACCTTTTTAATAAATAAATTATAATTTAATATTTATCTAACATTTTTTATTTATGTCAGAAAAGTTGCGGTGGATTTTTGCCTTATATGACATCAATGGTGACGGCTTTATAAGCAAACAGGAGATGTTAGTCATTGTTAGTGCCATTTATGATATGCTCGGTATGTCTATTCTGTTTGTTTGACAACTTTATTGACAAACTTTAAGATTAATTATCATTTTATTGATAAATATTGTATATTATATTAGACTTTATTGAATGATCTATATTTCTAATCATTGAATTCATTCATCAATTGATAGGCGATTATGTGATTCCTTATGTCGATTCTGTGGCGCCTAAAGATCACGTCGAGAGACTGTTTCACGTAATGATATTGTTTTTAATAAAAATCTTTATAATATTTGTTATAAACTTTGTATTTTGTTTGTTAGTTCATGCAATTGTGATTTAATTTTGTGCACCAATAACTTTTGTAATAAATTTTAAACCATTTTATTCTACAGTCTTTTGCTGTGCTTTTTTCATACAGCAGTATTGAAATCAAAATAGTTTTATATAATTCTTAATTATAGAATATTTTTTTATAACAAATAGTTATAATTACTATTTTCTATATTCTGAAAATCTTAATAATAATATCAAAATTAAAAATGTAAAGAAGTTTATTTTTATTAATATACTAAATATAAACTGAGGTAATTGCTAATTACAGTATATCTTAGAGTTGACTAAAAATTAATTAAGTGCTTATCAAAACTGAACATATCCTGAATTTTATATATATATATATATATAAAGTTAAATAGTATCTACTAATATGTATTTAACTATGTATTAATTATTAGATACAGTATATTATATTCTGTAATTTAAATTAAAAATATCTTATACTTTATATATATATTTAATTATATAATATATATACTGTATTTTATATAAAAATTAGGTTTTCTAATGCATGGTTAAATTCGGAGCTAATAATATTATGTTAAATTATTAATACATTATAATTTTTAATAATATGTTTAAAAGCCTGTGTCTAATAATCGATGAAATAACAGATATATATTATATAACAGATTATATATAATACTAGACTTTAATTTATTTTCTATTAAATAGCAAAAGACATCAGTTTTTAATACTACAAATAGTTGACTAATATATTTAAGTTTATGTTTTGAAGCACTTATTATTGTAACAAATCCAAGCGTTTCTTTTAGTTTTTATGTTTGATTGACACTTAAATTATATAATAATATATAACATAATGAATGATATCACTTATAATAGTAGTGTTGATGACATAAATGCTTCAAAATTTGCTTTACTTAACAATTTTTCTTAGCTATTATATATTTAATTTATTAATTATATTTTTATTATTAAATATAATCAGTTAATAGACGCTGATAAAGACGGAGTCATCTCTTTTGATGAATTTACTGAATGGTGCAAAAAGGTATAATCATTGATAAAATTAATTTATTATAAATAATTCATTTAATTAAATGCACGTTTAGGATGAAGATAGAGCTCAGGCATTGCTAATGTTTGATACAATTTTCTGATCGATTATTTAAAAGACAATATGATATTAGTTTTATTATTATAATAATAATTATTAAATATTTTAAGATAAAAAGATAAAAAGATAAAAAGATAAATTGATAGATTTTATATAGTAAATCAGTATTATTAATGTAATATAAATATTTCACAAAAGTTTCTAATTTACATTACATTTAGAAAAATTTAAATTAGTTAAAATTATTCATTATTATAGGTTTAATGCATTTTAAATTATAAACTTTAATTATTAAGAAAATATAAGTAATGTTATAATTGTAACTGCATAAAATAAATGCCAAAAAACCAAAAATATTTTGCCAAAATAATATATAAACAACACAACTAAATAATATGCCAAACAAACAATACACACATTATAAAAGTATTTACTAAATAGTAATTTTGTTATAATTCAATAAACAACAAATTCAATTCAATTCAATGTTTAACATTTATTTGACAATACATGACAACAAAAATAAAAGAGAAAATTATTATTATGTTATTTTCACATCTCATTAGTCACTATAACAAACCAATTATTATTTTTTACCAAAAATATATTTATTATTTGATAAAATTGTTGTTAATTTTAGTTTTGTTATAACAAATGTATTAGATTATAATTGCATCTAATTGTAATAATTAAACTATTATTAAATTATTTTATAGCAAAATGTTAAAATTTAATTTTAAAAATGTAAGCAATAAATTATTAAATATAGTAAATTATATGTACACAAAATCATATAATAAATTATTAAACTTATATATGTTATAGAAATTGTCAAAACTGTGTTAATTGTTTATAAAAACATACATCAACTGTATTTTAATAATAAATTAATAAAAAATTTATATAAGTATAATAAAAAAATTATTTACTAATAGTAAATAATTTTTAAAATAACTAACATGTAATACTTAATATTCAAATAATTTTTGAAACAAATATTTTCTGTAATGTATTTGTCTGAGTGTCTGTGTGTCTGTGTGTCTGTGTGTCTGTGTGTCTGTGTGTCTGTGTGTCTGTGTGTCTGTGTGTCTGTGTGTCTGTGTGTCTGTGTGTCTGTGTGTGTGTCTGTGTGTCTGTGTGTCTGTGTGTCTGTGTGTCTGTGTGTCTGTGTGTCTGTGTGTCTGTGTGTCTGTGTGTCTGTGTGTCTGTGTGTCTGTGTGTCTGTGTGTCTGTGTGTCTGTGTGTCTGTGTGTCTGTGTGTCTGTGTGTCTGTGTGTCTGTGTGTCTGTGTGTCTGTGTGTCTGTGTGTCTGTGTGTCTGTGTGTCTGTGTGTCTGTGTGTCTGTGTGTCTGTGTGTCTGTGTGTCTGTGTGTCTGTGTGTCTGTGTGTCTGTGTGTCTGTGTGTCTGTGTGTCTGTGTGTCTGTATGTCTGTGTATAGCATTCTATTTTTGCGAATTTTGACTTCAAATTCTTTTAGAACATCAAAAATAATGTATAGGGGTTTGTATCAAAAAGACCCATCTCTTCAGGAACATTGTCAAAATGGTGGTCAAAAAGTATAAAAAAGTTTAAATTAAAAATTTTGTCTATGAATTCATATAAAGATTTCAAATGTAGAATAGAATTGTCTTAAAAAGTATTATTCTCTCTGCCATTAATAGTCAAACCATTATTTTTTATAATTTTCGGAAGAATGAAATTATAAATAATTATTTATAGTATAAAATAAATATAATATAACTCATAATAACTAACTTATTTTATCAATGATTACTTTGGGTATAATATGACTCACAGACTAATGATTATCAGCAATGAATATTTTGGTTATAATGATTGTATAAAAAGTAATTTATGTCATCAAAATTTCTTTCTGGGCAATGCTCTCTAGCATTCTCAACTGGTTATTTTTGAAGTAAGTATTATTAGAAATAATAATAATAATTATGAATTTATAAGATTATTATATAAATATATAATAATAAATTCTGATTTTTTTCTAAGTTATATTTATATTAATATTTTAATAAAATATAACCTAACCATATAAACTATAACAAACAGTGTGTTAGTTTTAAAAATATATTACATTATATACAGACTGTTATCTGTGTCTGCAATAAACATACTGTATATAAGTAAAAACATTCATAAATGAATTTAAATATTATATTAATATATTTTTCTAAATATAAAAGCAAAAAAAACTTAAAACATATTAAAGCAAAATCATTAAATTGTTATTTTTTGTTATTTCCCTTTTAAAAATGATTAATTAATTAAAGATTTAATGTTATGTTCATATTATCAAACTTTAATAATAATTATTATATTAACGATACTAATGTACTAATCATAAAATAAGATAAAAATATGTGTTTAATTATTAAACAAATCAATAATTATAAACTAAGCAATGCTTTATTAGAAAATTATTTTATACTAATACACAAACACACCTTATATTTTATAAATATATAGATCAGTTATTTATAACACTAAATATCAATAATTAAAATATATACAGTATTATTATAGAGTATGTATCAGAGAGTGTCAGGCTATGGATCCCATGTATTTTGTATATAAATGTAATAAGGGCGTAACTAACAGTATAAAAAATGTAATAATAAGCCTTTCTACAAATGCAATGTCAAAACACAAATAAATGAAATAACAATAAAAATAAATATAAGTACAGAAGTGGAAAAAATTGAGAACAAAAACAAATATAATATTATAATAAAAAATAATATAAAATAGATATAAAAATAAAAAAACAAATATAAAAAATAATTAAAATCAAATATAATATATAATTAATTAATTTTATTATAAAATATTTAATTAAAAAATACTTTTATATTACTTACATTTTGAAATATTGTGAAATATTATTTCTATTATATTTTGTTTTGTTAAGTTTATTGTTATTTAAAAGTATTTTTATAATAATTTTTTACTTAATATTATTTATTTAATTAATTTTTACCATTTTGTTTATTTTATTTTTTATAAGTTAATACCATCTGTTTATATTTTTTAATTAAATATTTTATATTAAAATTAATTATTTTTTATTTTAATTATTTTTTATATTTGTTTTAATCTATTTTATATTATTTTTTATTATAAATTTTATGTTTGGTTTTGTTCACATTGTTTTTCCACTTCTGTACTTATATTTTAATTTTATTGTTATTTTATTTATTTGTGTTTTTGACATTGCATTTGTAGAAAGGCTTATTATTACATTTTTTATACTGTTAGTTACGCCCTTATTACATTTATATACAAAATACATGGGATCCATATCCTGACACTCTATGGTATGTATGCATAATAATTGTTATGTATTTAAACAAATGACAATAACAAACAATTTTTAAAAATTACTCAATTTTAGATTTTCTATTATTATTTATATCAATACTATCAATTTTATTATGTAAACTTAAATAATAAAGTGATCCTTTACATAAAAATATGTTTATATATTATTATTGATTTTTTACATTTCAAATATTTATATAATAATTTATATGTCTCAAAAGTATTTTATATAAACTAGGGTTAGCAGTAATACTAAGTTTATTGAATACAAAAATGTATATTAAAATATTATACAATGGATAAATTATATTTTATTTTAGATATTAAAGGTACATCAATGTATATGTTCATTATAAAACAATTTTATAATATAATTTTATTACTATTTTAACATAATTTTGAATAATACATATCCAGTATGTATTATAAACAATAATTACATTATTATACTGTATACTTATATTTTGCCAAAATTCTATAATTTTTCAACCCTGGTATATATTATTGCACACTATAACACATCAATTTATTCAGTATGTATACATTGTATTACGATTATAGTATAATATTAAAATCTAAAGTAAATCTATAGCAGATGCTCGTCCAGTATTTATTATATACAGTAGAAATTCTTTAATTGTTTTAATTTAATTTTTATTATTAAAAAATAGAAACATTTAAAGAATATTCTTTATTTTGTTTTAATGGAAGAATATTTTTTATATAAATTGTAGATAACTTATGAAATATAATATTTTTAAAAAAAAAATAATATTTATAAGAATCTTAATTTTTAATTTTATTGAATCACTAAATACATTACTTAACAAACAAATAAAATATGTTTCTATTAAAAGCTTATAATTTAAAAAAATAATAATTTAAAAACATTATCAAAATCATTCACCAGACGGCCTAATATACAGTTTATAAAATACTTATCATTCAGTATTGTGTAATGTTTTCAATACTGTTTAACTTTAGGGTAAAGTATAGTACAGTATATTGTATTGTATATTGAATACGATTTGTAATACTGAACACTATATTACAGTATTATTATTATTATTATACAGTGTTTTAATGTTGTTGTGATAACACACTCGTTGAACACAACAATAATCAACAGTCAATACTGCAGTCAATCGCTGTAAACGTTGTCATTCATTATCCATAATAATAATAATATTAATAATTGATTAATAATCAGCTGTTTATGGTTTCATTCAATTTAATTATCCCATTGTTTGTCCATTTAGTCGACTATTTATTTGACATAAATTCAAAGTTTTCATTAAACAAAAATTCATTTATTTATGTTTACGACAATAACAACGATATTTTGTAATGTGTTTTTAAATATATTTAACAATAATTATCACTTTGTTTGATCCAAATCAATATACAAACAAATAATTCAATGAAGACATTAATTGATAGACACAAAGATTGGATGAAATGATCACATGTTATTGATATTCATTTAATATCTTCAAATCACTGATAATTAATCTGATTATACATTCATTAATCAATTGGTGACCAAATTAGTTGATAGGTTGAGATATGTCTTTACGGGTGCGGATGTTGTCTATCTTGGATGTGGTGTTACGGGTGCCGCCCATCTTCATAATGGATACCATTTTGATCCACTGTTTGGGTCAAATTGAACCCATGTTTAAACAAAACCACAACAATCATCACAGCAATCATAACCACAACAATATGATAACAATGGATGGTATGTCTGGCGGCGATCTTAAGATGAATTCAAATGTCGTTCACCACAATATCGTTGGTCTTCATAATGAAAACAATGTGAGCAACAACTGGAAAGTTATGATGACTTCCATGAATGGCAGTCCTTTGACATCAACCGCTGTCGATGATGACGACGACACCATTACTTTAAGTCTTAGCACTTCATCTGTCTTCTGGATTGTGCTCTACATTCATGGTATACACCGTTCAAGACTTTAAGATAGTTATTACTATTAATTTTATTATATGATGTCTAATAATAGCCTTTTTAATGGCATTCTCGCTGTTTTTGTTGTCCACTCGGCACTTACTGGCCATTTATGTTTGGTTGGCCTCAATTGGTGTCATTTTGTGGTCATATATTTGCAATGAAGAGTACAATAAATATGTCTTTAGTATAAAAAACTCATCGCTTGCTTACGAAGTCATATCATTTAATTTTAGTGCTATTTCCCGATTTGTGGCCAACTATTTCTTTCAAGTAATTGATTGATATTTAAAAATTGATTTTTCTTATATAATACTCGATCTATTTATTAATGTTTATTTGAAAGGTATTTCTGGCCATTTGTTTTTGTTTTGCAAGTAAAACATCGCAAACAATAATACCCAAGAGATTAGTTGGTCTAACATTTATCGCACCGAATATCATATCATTAATACCAGCGATTCCTCCAATATTTTTGGCTGTCTCTCCAGTTATATCCGCTGCCATTGCTTTTCTATATATTATTTTAAATTTGGTGACAAATATTAGACAAATATTTATGACGACATATGCAGAGATTCAATGGTCGCGAAATATTGTCCGCAACTATGGTCTCTACACTTTACTTGAAAGCCAATGGATTAGATTACATGTACCACAGGTTTGTCTAGTTTTTGATTATTATTTAAAAGTTATTGAAAATTATTTTATTATTAATTTAAAGGTTTTGCGAGTTTTTTGGTTGACTCGTTTGACAGAACAGGCAGTCTTTCTTTTAGCTGATTCTACACATAAGCAATATATGTCTACAGGAATAATAGGTCTGACATTTGAAAGTCAAATATTTTGGTCAAATGTCAAACAATTGATGGTTAGGGGCTGTGAAACAATTGTTGCCGTTTTGGGCATGACTTCCGTATTATCCGGTATTTCTCATCAAATCGGATGTCTTATGCAATCTTTTCTATTGGTCGAAGATCCAGAAGATCGTTCTATTGGAACAGTTTCTGCCATTTTGTTTTTTATATTAGCCCTTCAAACAGGACTGACTGGTATGGAACCGGAGAAGCGTTTTCTACGACTTTATCGCAATCTTTGTTTACTGTTTACTGCAATTCTTCATTTCATTCACAATATGGTCAGTCCATTACTCTTCTCATTGAGTGCTTCCCGAAATATGTCTATCAATAGACACGGCCGAGCATTGATAGTATGTGTATTTCTCATCGCATTTCCCGTATATTTCTTGTATTACTTGTGGACACATCACGCCGTCTCCACTTGGCTTTTGGCCGTTTCTGCGTTCAGTATTGAAGTCGTTATTAAAGTCAGTGAAATACTGTTATTTAATTTGATAAATAATTACATTATAATTTATAAACTCTTCTTTATTTAGGTTATTATATCTCTACTAATTTATGGTCTCTTTATGATCGATGCTTTCCGTACATCAATGTGGGAGAAATTAGATGATTACGTCTATTATATTCGGTCGACCGGAAACTCAATTGAATTTATTTTCGGTATTTTCCTCTTTTTCAACGGCGCCTGGATTTTGTTATTTGAATCCGGGGGTACTATTAGGGCTCTCATGATGTGTATTCACGCGTATTTCAATATATGGCTTCAGGCAAAAGCCGGTATGTTTTAAATATAATCCCTTTATGTAATTGACTTAACCATCATTTCATTAACCATAAGGTTGGAAGACATTCATCAAACGGCGACACGCGGTCCACAAAATCAATTCACTTCCCGAAGCATCAGAGGAACAGTTGCGCAACTTTGACGACGTCTGTGCCATATGCTATCAGGAGTTAACCAATGCTCGTATCACTAAATGTAACCATTATTTCCACGGCGTGTGTCTTCGCAAATGGCTATATGTACAGGACATGTGTCCACTATGTCACGAGACTCTATACAATGTCAACGATACCACTGATGCCAACACTGAGGTTAACAACGATAATAATGGCAATATTAATGAACACAACGGCGGACAACCAGCGCGTATCGGTGTTGAACATCAACACATCGATTAAAAAACACCTCAACAGTGATATATATATAAATATTATTTCTAATTAATTAAATTTTTATTAAATTATATATTCTGTAATATTTGTTAAATGATTCATTTGTCAAATATATATATATATTGTAAACTTATTTATTTACGTATATTATTTCAATTATTTTGACAGATATATTTATTGTAGATATTTTTAAAAAATTAAATAAATAAAACCCGTTAGTTAAATAAATTTTTATAAATATCTACAATTTGATTTAATATCAATTAATATTTATAAAAAAATATCTCCGATGCCGGGAATCGAACCCGGGCCTTCTGGGTGAAAGCCAGATATCCTAGCCACTAGACCACATCGGATTAGTTGTCTATAACTATCATCACATTTCATATAATCAATTCAATTCAATTTTAACTAAAAATATCAATAATTAATAAATAGTTTCATTTTATTTACAATTATAATTATGTTTTATTTAAACATTTTATATAATTTAATGAATAATAATATAAATAATAATATATATAAATTGTTTGCATGAGTTCACTATAATACTGTATAACGTAATGTATGTAAACAATGGGATCCATAACTTAAATATAGTAAACTATTTTCTAAGAGTATGAGAGTATGTGTTATAATAGTGTCAATCATTGAATACAATTGATATTATATTATATGTAAAACCCATTTCTGGTGTTATTTTGTAACATATATTGTGAATAAAGTTATTGAAAGCCTATTGAAAATGAGAGACAATTTGTTTGAAAGCAATCAATAGTTGAATGCGTTTTGTATTTTCAAAAGTGTTGTCTGTTTTTAGCAGTGATTTTATGATCACAATCTTCGTGACCAACGATGACCACCACTTCTGCCAATAGTTTAAGTACTGATTTAATGCATTGAATTGTCTACAGAAAGCATTGTCACCAAAAACACCGTTTGTTTTATTCTGATTTTGTTTGCAGAGTCTCGTCTTCGAGTTGTTCCCATCGATGAGTGGTCAACCCGTGAGAAGTTATGTTTGGCCTCAAGTGTTCTCAAGAGTGGCGATCAAAATTGGTTTGTTATTATTATTTAAGATTAATTGTCGAAATTATTTCGTAATCCAATTGTTTGATCGGATAGGAGTTCAGTGTCGCGGCCTTTGAAGGCGTTTAGTGAACCGAACCGACCGAACGACTGGTTTCATCAAAAGTATTGCGCCATTCAGTACCAGGACTTACTTGAAAAGATTGAAACGGAAACACCAAAGTAATGATAATAACGGATTGATTACTCAATTTGTGATAATTTTCTAAATCTTGTTTCAGACGAAAGCGTAGCGAAAGAGGCGAAGAGACGCCGCAAACGATTATTGTCCGCAATTTGACAAAACAACGCATCGAAGAGTTGAGACAAATAACAGCAATGGAGAGGGACTTGATTTTGAAAGTGAAACAAGACTTAGAGTTACTAAAGAATAAGAAAATGAGTGACAAACGCATAGAAGAACTTCGCATTGAAATCAAAGAGAAGGAAACAAAAGAAAAGGAGAAAGAAATTGAACACAAAAAATGGTTAGAAGAAAGAAGTTTGAAAATATCACAAATGACACGAAAAGGCACTTTTGCCACAAGACATAAGCCGGTGGCAGTCAATACACCCATCGCTGCTGATCTTCAGTCACCACCAATTACTGGTGAAAATAGTGGCACTAAATCTCCTGTTAATGAACCGCTTAAAGTTGAAATTGAATCAAATGATTCAAGCAATTCACAAACTGTTACATCAAACCAAATCATAGAAAAGACTACAAATATAACGCCTTCTCCGTCTACTTCACCACTTTTGACTTCTTTATTACAAAGTCCTACTCCTTCAACACAAAGTATTTTATCGCCGACAAAGAGTGGACAATCAGGCAAACAAATTACGCGACAAATTAGTTCCACTCATTTGTCTAGTATTATAAGACAACCCACGACAAGTGATGTGACAAATGAAAAGATCTCTGAATCACCCGTAAAGAAGACAACTATTCAACCGTCAAAAGAGAAAATATTTGACAAAATTGATAGCAAAGAACAAACTCCTTGTATTGGTTTTTCTAAACTCTCAAAACTGCTTGAATCGACAAATACATCTAAATCTAAACAGTCCGACACAGAAGTTAATAAAGAATCAAATGACACATCGGATCAATTGAACGTTTCTACAACTGAAGACAAACGTTCAAAAGTAAAGGGGAAGGACAAGAAAGATTCGGAAAATACGGAAGAAGTGGTTAAGAAAGACGAGTCAAACGAACGATCCCTTAGAAGTAGAGACAAAAACGATGAGCAAAAAGTTGAAAAACATTTATCGGAAAAATCAGAAGATAAAGAAGTGGATCAAAATACAGATAAAAAAGATGAAGAAAATGTTGAAATTGTTTCTATCAAACAGGAAATCATCGATATTAATGTAGACGAAGAGTCGCCAAACAAAGAAAGTGATAAATTAATTGTAAAAACAGAACCAACTGACACAAGCAATGCTATTACTTCTGACGATTCAAAGACACCATTGAATCGTTCCAAACGATTACGAAAACCTGCAGTAGTAGTTACTACTACTACTACTACTACTACTACTAATACTAATACTACTGCGGCGAGTACACCACAAAGTGGCCGTAGATGGTCGCGAAGGGTCGCACAGAAAGACGCAAAATTAGCAAATGATGACTCGACTGAAATGAGCGATCAATCGGTTGCTAACACTCCACAAGCTATTAAAAAGCGCGGATCAATTGACGACACAACTGAAACATCAATGAGCGAAGAATCTATGGACGCAAAATTAACGACGACATCTGTCGCAAGTGAAACAGTTCCCAATAGCCCGGCTTCGGTTAAAACTGAAGACATAAAAGAAAGCGATTCCAAAGAGTATAAGACATGGAAGAAGGCTGTTATGGTTAACTGGCGTTTAATAAGTTCCCATAAATATGCCTCACTATTTTCACATCCCGTTACTGAATCTGAAGCTAAAGGTTACGAAGAAATAGTGAAGAAACCAATTGATTTGAATAGTATTAAGAAGAGAATAGAAAGTGGAGTCATTCGGACGACAATTGAATATCAAAGAGATATTCTTATAATGTTTCAAAACGCTCTTATGTTTAACAACGCCAGCAATGCTGTCCATAAATGGACAGTCGATATGCAAAAAGACACGATTGCTAGTATTGAAGACTTTATTGCTAATTTCGATAACAGAAAACCTGATAATATTAACAGTGAATCCAAATTAAGAGGAAGAGAACGAAGAAGTAATGTATCAACAATGATATCACCGATTGTTACTGACGTGAGTTTATAGTATTATATTACTATTGCAAGTATTGGTAATGTATTTATTATTATTATATATATGTTTTTCAGAGTGATCTGTCAGTCCGTCGGAAAAGTCGGTGCGCCTCCACTGACACCGATTCCAATGCATCGAGTCTTAACAAATCAGTGACAAAAAAGCGAAAGATATGATATAATACACAAGTTTTTAATTCATAAATAAATATTTTTTTTGCTATTATGAGATATTGCTTGAAATTATTGCTTTAAATTGTTTAAAACATTATTATAAGTGCCGTAAGTTTGAATGACAATTGATCCACATTTTAAATGCTGATCTTCAATATAGTCGCTAATGTAATGCTAATATACAGTGTATTATATTATATAAGAATTTAATTTTTTATGCTTCAGAGTTACGGTAGACTTCAGTGACGGTTTGGTTATCTTATTATAATTACTGTAAATATAATTAATTTCTTATCTTTTTATATACTTTTCAATAACATATACTACAATACAAATGTGTATTGTATTGTAATGTATATATTAATAAAGTAAAAATAACATCAAACTATTGATTATATTGGTTTGTGATTTGACAGCTGATTGGTATTAAAAAAAATTAAATACTTATTATATATATATATATATAGGAAATCAAATTATAAATTTAATTGATTTATTGATTTTATATTTTTGTGAATTTTTGTTATATATGTAATTGACTTGACGTTTGTTGTGTTAAAAAATGTATTTTAAATATTTTCATAGATTTAAGAATTTATCAAAATAATATTGAATAATATATTAAAAAGTACTCGATTATGCTTATTAATAATACAAACATTTGGTCCCATTTATAGTTTGCTAAGTTAACTGTTAGAATACTTGATCATACTTTTGCTACAAATTACTGCTATCAAAGCTATGACTGAATAAATATTAGTGTTTTTAAAATAATAATTCAATCAATTGAGAAAAAAAATAGCGCTAGAGATCCTCATTTTAGTATTATGGGTAATACTAGAGGTCCTGTACTAGTACTTGACATTAGTTTACATTTGATATCTATGGTAACTAAATATTTGGTCAACTTTTTTGACACAACTCTTAAATTACGTTATCATATTTATTGCTTACACAATAGCTTAATAGCAATAAATATGATAACGTAATTTAAGAGTAGTGTCAAAAAAGTTGACCAAATATTTAGTTACCATAGATATCAAATGTAAACTAATGTCAAGTACTAGTACAGGACCTCTAGTATTACCCATAATACTAAAATGAGGATCTCTAGCGCTATTTTTTTTCTCAATTGATTGAATTATTATTTTAGTTAGCTATACGACTGTGAGTGTGATCTTTAAAAGTGCTAACTTGTATGCTATGTATGCTATAGATTGTGTGTTTGTGTTTGAGTTGTAAATGGTTTACATAACAGTATAGTAATGATTGAGTGAATCGACAAACAGAGACATCACTCCTATTGGACACCAATTTGTATGTCATATCATTGATCGACACATTTGGATGAATGTCTCATCACGAGGGTATGTCTGTCACCTAAACTGATCCAATTGGTCACTAAATTACTTAATTATTTACAAATCAATTGTAAAAACATAAATGCATTTCATTATCAAAATGGCTAACAATTGGCAATAAATCAATTGATTTGATGTCTAATTATAAACCATTTATTGACCACTAATTTGATGATGACTTACAGTAAACAGTGATTCATATAATTGTTTTCAATTAAAAGTTATTTTAGTGACAATTGTTTACAAATTAATGATTGTTTTGATCCTAAGATTTGTCAATAAATGTTAGATTCAATACATGTTTTTTATTTTAAAACTAACTTATAATTAATGATTTTATTTACCGAAAACATCGGTTTATTAGTAGATTTAAAGTCTATTTTCAATAATATAGTAATTATTTTGTGACCAAATAAATGGATCGATAATTAAATTATTTTTGAGTTAATTTCTTTAAAATTAATGGTAATGTCATCTTCAGGAGTGAGCTGTGATTCCTGTCTTAAGGGGAACTTCAGAGGTAAACGATACAAGTGTTTAATATGCTTTGACTACGACCTGTGCGCCGCCTGTTTTGAATCGCGGGTCACATCGACCAGACATAAGGCCGATCACCCGATGCAATGTATACTTACCCGAAGTGATATCGGTATGTATTTTGTTGACATTTTAAGTTACTTTAATTTGATATTATATTGTTGTTGATAATGATGTTTATAAACCAGATGTGTATTATGGAGGCGAAGCGGTGTCTGTTGAACAGCCGCAGGCCTATACCTGTCCATTCTGTGCTCGTATGGGCTTCACTGAGGCCACACTTCAAGAACACGTGACATCAGAACACGCCGATTCTTCTACTGAAGTGGTTTGTTGTTATTACTGAGTAAACGTATTAATACTTTTGCTATAATTAGATATCAAATTAATTTTTAAAGGTGTGTCCCGTTTGTGCCGCACATCCAGGCGGAGAAGCAAATCATGTGACGGATGACTTTGCAACACATCTTACTTTAGAACACAGAAGTCCTCGAGAATTGATATCCTTTTTATAATTTTTAAGATTTGATGAAAACTTTGTTTTATTATTTGATTGATTTTCCTTAACAATTGTCTTTTTGATTAACACGAAGAGCCACAGACAGCAATTAGAGGCCGTCGAGCACCGCATCCGACGCGTGGTCTTAACAGTGTCAGAGCTCGTCGCTCACAAATGGCGTTTAGTTCCAATTCTGGTTTATCTTCACTTTCTCCTAACAATAGAGATTCAATGGATCCGATAGCAGAACTGTTATCACAATTATCAGGTGTACGACGTGCGGCCAATTTGGGTCAGACGCACGCAACGCCTCAATTACAACAATTGCAAATGCAGTTACAATTAGACAGAACATCTTCTTCGGCGCCTTTAAGACAGACCTTTGATAGGGCACCGATTGAAAGAGTTATCCGTCGACATCAACAACAGTCATCTCAACAGCAAATACAGTCAAATAGTTCTCAGTCTTCGACAGCCAACACAACTCAACAGCAATTGCCTTATGTTGTGCTAATGGAGCCGAATCCTAGTCCCGCCACTTTAGCCGCGGCTGCCGCTGCTGTCAACCAAAATAACAATAATGCCGGTACTCTGAACGTAACTACCGGTACGGCGACGAGTGCTAAAAGTACTAATTCACAGTTTCTCTTATCGAGGTTTGCTTTAAATATTTAGTAATTATTGTTTGTAAATATTTACAACCAATTGTTTGATTAATAGGTGTAATGAAAATATCTTCACTGATAACGAACAACAGCTCATTGAAGTCCAAAGAGTAGACCGAAGTCTCTTCGTTCAGGAACTCTTTCTGACAACTTTAACAGAGTCTTTGAATTTAGAGGAAAGCCTTTCCAGTACTGGTGGCGAAGCTATTAATTCATATGAAGAGTCTGTCAATAACACAGGCGAGTGTATAAACGATGAAAATGAAGAGAGACTGATGTTAGATGAAGATAACGAAAATCATTTACACTATAATTGTAATGAAAATGAAAAGCCAATGGCTATACAACTATCTAACAGTACCCGTCGTGTGACTGCAAACGCTAATCAGCTTCTGCAGCACCAAAGTCTTCAGCAACCGCTTATTAATAGAAGACTACAAAAGTCGAGACAAATACCTGGTGCGCGAGTGAACCCTACGGCGAGTGCCGCCACTAACACCAATACTAGCACTAGAAATTTGAACCGAACCGGTGGATCCACATCTCCCAATGCATCCACTCGACGGAAATTATTGAGAGGACAGCCCTCTGAACCACCACCACATTAATGAACCGTTAGATAGTTATCGGCGCTCAAAATAACTCCACACGAGTAATGGTTATTAATTATAATAATATATTTTATTGAAATCTTTTAAATTTAGCGCTTTGTTTTGTAAATAATTAATAATTGTATTAATCGGTGATTCAAAACATATTTGAAAAACATTTGCTGTTATTATTATTATTATTAATGAGACGAAAGCTTTCTATTTATCGAATCCAGGGTTTAATTCTCGTCTTAAATAATATGATTTATTGTAATATAAAACTAATTATAATTTTAAAACCAAATACATTTAAAATTAACTAATTATAAAACACTCTTTTACTAAAAAAAAAAATCTTAAAAATATTTATAATTATAAGTAAAAGATTACTGAATTACAGGTACTTTACATTAATAATGGTTATCTATTCTATCAGTTTTATTAACACTTAATAATCTATCGTCAAATGATATATTTGAAAGCAATTTTCAACATTTTTTGAGATTACCAAACATTGTTTTCTAACAATGATTATGACATTATTTAAAAAGATTTGGATATTTTATTAATGATTTTAACATATTTGTTATATAATTACTGATAATAACATTATATGGCAATGATTTAATGAAATCAAGAAATTGTTGAGACACTAGTTATGAACAATAATTATATACAGTATTGTTGATAAATTTAAGTATATATTAAACACAATTACTTTTACGCGATATTATTTAGAGCATTACAAGTGATGATATAGTTTGTTGAAATCATTTCTAAAGATATCAAAGTCTTTATTTAAACAAATGTCAAAAAATTATAGTAAAAGGATTGAAATTATCTTTTATTATTTTATTTTTAAATCCAAAGATTAAACGAAATAATAAAAGTATAAAATTTTATAAATATTAAATTTATATGACAAACTTAGACGAATAAATAAACTAAATTGTAAATAATATGGTTTATCGTTTTGCTGAACCATTTATTTTGGCCTTTAAAATGGTAAGTAATTGATTGGTCTGTTATTATATAGAAATATAATTAATTAAATACATAATAATAATATTTATTTATTTATTTAATACTTACTTCAATTAACTCTAAATCAATTTCACTTTTAGCACAAGTTCTGACTTTTAAACATAAAATATTCAATACTTTTAGTATTGTTTCCTATTATTACGTAAATTATATGTTAATATTTTTAATTTATTTTTAAAATATATAATTAACTTACCTTTGACTCAAACAAATCGTTTGGCAGATCCAATAATTGACTGAACATTGAAGTGATTATATAGATATCTAAAGGTAAAAGAGTTTTCCAATCGATTTGATTTAAAATGTTTTCAAGTGATCCTATGGTGTAATCGGTGTCAATGTTTTGAAGAGTTTCCGTTAAATACAATTTGATGAAAGAAATGCAAAATTGTCTCTTTATTTCAATGTTGACATTCATTGGTAACAATTGTATGATTTGTAAACTCAATGCAATATATTTCTCTGATTTACAAAATGCAATCAATTTATCAATAATTTTAGTTGAATTCATTGTATCAACAATCAGATGTTTAATTAAAACTAATATAAAATCTTTAATTTTAAGTATGAGTTGAGTGTTTGTCATAAGTCTGGTGTCGATAGTAAATGCAATGGCAATAACCAACAGTTCAATGAGCTCTTCTTCACTATTAATGACATCTACTTTGAGACAACACTTATTCAGGACTTGTGTCACCAATTGGATCACATTTGACAACTTTGTACATTGTTTTATAATTACTATCTCTGAACACGAATATTCAGCACTCAATGGATTTAAATATTTTGATATCTCTTTGAGAAATTGGTAAAACTCTACGAGAATTACTGATAATTGAATTTCTGATAAGTTCTCAAATAAACAGTCAAATGATTTATCAATATTTTTCGGACAAACAGTTTGGTCACAACTAATAAGTTTAATGATATGTGCAATAAGTGAGTTGAGATCACTATCAGATAGATTAGGAGAGACCAATGGCATCACACAAATCAAACGATTTAATGGCATTTCATACAAACGTGTATTAGATTTAATTACATCTTTATATGAATTTGTTTTCAAAAATCTATTGATTTGTTTGTTAATAAATTCATTGAATATATTTATACATTTAAGCGATTGATGATAACAAAAATAATTTGATTGATTGGTTGCCACTTGACTTTCTTCGACTTTCAAAAAGTCATTTTCAATTTCATTGACAGATTGTAAATGAAGAATCTCTTTATCCCTCTCGAGTTTATGCAAATTATTTAAACAGAAATTAAATAACTTTTGTTTTTCTTTATCCGCATATTTATCTTTGCTTTTTAATTCATCCGATTTCTGACACCTATTATTAGATTTTCTGACCACTGGTACCAATAAGTCGTCATCTGAGTCCACATCATTTGTCTCAATAGTATCCAATGTCTTGAAATTATTTTTGATTTCATTCAACGCCTGATCATTCATTAGTAATTCATTATTATTTATTTCACTATCAAATTGTCTAATATTATCATCTGATTCAATGTCATCCCTATCTTTAATGTCACTCATTTGACTATATTTCTCGGCTTTCATAATCAATTTGGTCTTATTTTTAACTTTTTTCTTATTTTTGTTGCATTCAGACAACGCCTTCTGTGGACTGAGTATTGGATACAACTTTTTTACCACTTTATCCTTACTTCTAGTTCTTCTGTCTGATGTTTGTGGTATTTCGGTAATGTCTTCGTTCAATACAATTGATTGCAAGTCTATATTTTTAGTACAATTAGGCGATTGAATGATGGGTTTAAAGAAATCACTAATCGTTGTTTGTCTCATTGATTCACTGATTGGTGACTTCGGTAGTATCCGTGGGATTCGTGTCTTAAGTGTCGATGACTTTTGTGGTGTTTTCGGTGACTTCGGTGATTTGGCCGACACTTTTCGTGTGGTTCGCTGTTTTTTCGGTGTTTTCGGAGGCATTGTTTTTGGTCACTACTGTTCAACAATTCAATTGTTGCAAAAACTTATCAAACAATACATACACTGTTGCTATGATTGCTATAATTATCTATAAATAAAATAATTAATTCAAATAATTACTGAATACTAAAATACAATACATTATAAAGTACTTTGAATTTATGATACAATTATTGTAATCACGTGTTGCATAACATGTGTTATGCAGTGAAGTCACCACAACTGAGTTGTTATGAGCACTGAGTTTATAGAGTGATAAGCGATCAATGAGTTCAATACAAATGCTATGTATTGTAAACATTCATGAAATACATTATCAATGATTTGCCGCCAAAACTACATATGATTTGAGTCAACAATAAGTGACAACAAATGTTAAGCCGATTTGTGTGACCATTCGGGACATCACTTTGTGTGGACAAAAGCAGTCGGTATTTGTCGCACACAATGCATATTAAGTCAATAGTGTTGGACGGCTTCAAGTCGTATGGCGTCCGCACAGAGATCGACGGCTTTGACAACTTATTTAACGCCATCACTGGTCTGAACGGTTCGGGAAAGTCCAATATTTTGGACGCCATATGTTTTGTGCTCGGGTTGTCCAAAATGGAGTTGGCCAGATGTACCAATTTGCGGGAACTCATCTATAAGAATGGTCAGGCAAATGTGACCAAAGCTATCGTTACCATCACTTTTGATAACAAAGACAAAAATCAAAGTCCTATTGGTTTTCAACAATACGACGAAATTGTCATCAGAAGAGAGGTTTGTTTCACTATTTTATTGATTTGTTTCTAAGATTAACATATTTTATATAATATCTATTCTTGAATTATGATGATCTTCAGGTCAATGTCAACAGTCGGTCCAAGTATTGGATTAATGGTTTCAGTGCCAACAATCAACAGGTGTCGGATCTGTTTCATTCAGTGTCCCTCAACATCCATAATCCACACTTCCTTATAATGCAGGGACGCATCACTAAAGTTCTTAATATGAAACCAAATGAGGTAATCATTTGTCTTTTTTTAATGTATGATATTTATTATTATTTTTAATCAATGAGCTAATGATTTAATAGATCCTATCGATGGTCGAGGAAGCGACTGGTGTTAGTATGTATGAGGCGAAGAAAAAGTCAACGCAGACTATGATTGAAAAGAAAGATTCAGCGCTTCGAGTGATCGACGCTTTAATCAATGAGACAATTGTTCCCAAATTGGATCAGTTAAAGAAAGAACAAACGGGTTTAATAGAGTTTCAGAGGATAAGCGCAGAAGTAGAGGCACTGACCAAAGTCTTAATTGCCTATCAATTCATGAAACATAACGAAACTACACAAAAGGCATCCGCAAAGATTGATGACAAGAATAACGAGATTAATGATAATCAAAGACTTATAGAGCAAACTGAAGAAGAAGCCAAATGTATTGAAGACAACATTAGATCAATTGAGAGAAAAAAAGATGAAGAATTAGGTGGAAAATTGAATCAATTGGAGGAACAATTAAAAACTGAACAATTGTCTGAAGCAAAACAAATGGGAGAATTGAATCTTGCAGTCGAAGAACTTAAGGATAAGGAAAAGAAAGAATTACAACTCTCCAAAAACTTAGAGAGCGATCGCAAGATAACGACGTCTAAAGAAAAACAATTGAATTCTTGTAACGAAAAACTTGAAAAACTCAAAGCAGACGCTCAAGAAAAAGAAGAGAAATTGAAAAAAGCTGAAAAAGATTTTGAAGATATTAGTGCCGGTAAATCACGCGCTCAAGAAGGAGAAGCAGCGGCTACTTTGGCCGACCAATTGATGACAGCAGAGAAAGAAGTGTCAACTGCTAGTGTGGACTTTAAAAAGGCTGAAATGAAAATAAAACACATGAAGAATGATTTGATTAAAAAAGAAAAAGAAGTAAATAATGTTAAAAACACTTACGATAAGGATATGAAAGAAATAAATTCACGAAACAGTGAAGTCAACAAATTGAAGGCCAATCTCAATAGCATTGGATTTGATGAGAATAAACATTCAGAATTAAAAACACAAATAAATCAATTGAAACATCAAATCGACGGATTGTCCAATGAATTAACAAATTCTGAATCACGTATTAATGGACTTCGTTTGGAGTATAAGGATCCGCACCCGAACTTTAATCGCGATAATGTTATCGGTGTGGCCTGTAATCTGTTTTCTATTAATAATATGGACTATTCATTGGCAGTGGAAAAGGCCGCCGGAAACAAACTATTCAATGTTGTGGTCAGAGATAGTCAAACGGCAAAAGCAATTCTCGAAAGAGGACAACTCAGAGATAGAAAAACTTTTATACCACTCGACAGAATTAGAGGTATAAATATTGATCCAAAAGTACTAAAGAAAGCACAAGATTTGGTCGGTCGCGATAATGTTAACTATGCTATCAATTATATAAACTATGATCAAAGTCTTCATGAGACTATGAAATATATTTTTGGTGACACATTAATTGTTCCCAATATGGAAGTCGCCAAAAGAGTCTGTTATGCTCCAGGAGTCAAAAAAGTGACCGTCACTTATGATGGCGAAGTGTTTGATCCAAGCGGTACTCTTTCTGGTGGTTCTGTAGCTCACGGAACGCAATTGTTGACAAAAATTGCTGAAATTAATAACAAAAAGAGAACTATAGAAGAAATGAAGAATAATTATTATGAAAGTGAAAGAGAATTTCGAGAAATAGACAAAAACTTGAAAAAATATACAGAACTTAAACAGAATTATGAACTAAAAGCCCTCGAAGCAGATCTCATTCAGAAAAGGTTACAACAGGGAAGTAGTGCTCATATAATAATGCAAGAAATTGAAGAGTTGAAGACAAACTTGATTAATGAACAACAGATATTAAAAGATAGTGAAGATATTATGAAGAATTCAACAAAACGTGTCAATGATTTGAAACTAAAACTTAAAGATTCAAAATCTATTCGCGAGAGGGAACACAAAGAATCCGAACAAAACTTGAAAATTGCTCGAAATTTGGCCGAAAAGGCGCATAAATTGTTGACCGAAGATCAACAAAAAGTGGAATTGTTTCAAATGGAAATCGAAGACCTATCAAAACAAATGAATTCATACGAACAACAACTCAATCAATACAATACTGAGATTGAGGACAAACGTTCAGAAGTAGAAGTACTTCAACAACGAGTTAATGATGTGAAACAAAGAGTTGAGACAAACAGTTCGCAACTTAAAGAACATAAAAGAAAACTGAAATCACATTCCGATGAAATCTCAAAAATGCAGAAACAAAGAGAAACTGTTCTCAAACGCGCACAGGAATGTCAACTCAAGATCAAAGAAATCCAGTTTGATATCCAAAAGATTAATAAAGACTCTAAAGAATCGGCACAGACTGTCAAACATATGATCAAAAAGTATCAATGGATTGATGAAGAAAAGCATCTGTTTGGTGATGAAAGTGCTGGTTATGGGTTCAATCATTTTAATCATAACGAATCCAACCGACGATTAGAAAGATTGAAATCAGAGAAGTCATCAATGGCTAAGACTGTTAATATGAGGGCTAATATTATGTTAAGCGATAAAGAAAAAGAATCGTTAGAATTATCGCGAAGAAGAGAAATTGTGTCAACAGATAAAAGCAAATTAATTAAATATATGCAAGAAGTGGACCAAAAGAAAAAGGACGCACTTTTAGAGGCACACAAAAAGATTAATATTGACTTTGAATCCATTTTTTCTACGTTTTTGCCTAATTCTGTGGCACAACTTGTAGCACCTGATGGTAAAGCTGTGACCGATGGACTTGAAGTTAAAGTTGCTTTCGGTAATGTCTGGAAAGAATCGTTAACTGAACTGAGTGGTGGTCAGAGGTCATTGGTTGCTCTGTCACTGATATTAGCTTTACTTAAGTTCAATCCGGCGCCGCTCTATATTCTTGATGAAGTGGACGCAGCATTGGATCAAAGCCACACACAGAACACCGGTATTATGATTAGGAAACACTTCAGAAACTCACAGGTATTTCATAAAACTATAAATCGAGTGATGAAAATATTGAAGATATTATTGATAACTAATTTTATTTTTTAATCATTCAGTTTGTAATCGTCTCACTAAAAGACGATATGTTTAACAACGCGAATGTACTCTTCAAGACTAAGTTTGTCGACGGTATGTCTCACGTGACACGACTTACAAGAAATAAATAAAATTAACCATTAATTTAACTAATGATCAATTCATTAGAATCTAATTTATTATTCAATTAAAATATTGTAATATTTTGAAACAAATATTGAAATAAATTTTTATAATTATTCACAAATCTCTTTCTATTTGTTGTTTTATAATTACCGGTAAATAATATATAAAATTATAAGTTATAATATTTCCAATAGTCTTCAAAGGACATAGTCTTAAACAGCGGCGATGCTATTAATTACAATTATCTGGTCAACAATACGTTGGATTTAAAAGTGGTCAAGGGCAATTTTGTTGATAATTTTAAACTAAATAAGATTTTGATTTGTCATTTTTTAATTAATTGTATGTTTGGCCATATAATTTACAGTTAACTGTTAAAACTAGTAATCGACTGCAATTATCTGCCCAATCATACAATTAATTGAAAAATGACCAATTACAATCTTATTTAGTTTAAAATTATCTACAACATTGCCCTTGGTCACTTTTAAATCCAAAGTATTGTTGACCAGATAATTGTAATTAATATCATTGCCGCGGTTTAAGACTCTTATAGTTAGTTGGAAACCGAACCGAAACCTAGTTTCACATAACATAAAGTTTTTATTAAACTTAAATTTGGTTATGTATTGTAAAGTTAAATCAATTATGTTGTCTATCAGTTCAATGTTAAAACAGTTTATTTTTAATTTGTTATACATTAGTGCTGTATAATATCTAGTGTCTTGATTTCCAACTAAAAAAATTATTTTGTCGGTTCAACGCTTATAATTTGGACTTAATATGTACACCGAAGTTGACCAGTGGACGCTATTTCCGAAATTTTATTATAACTATAAATAACTATTTGTTGGGTTAGCAAACTATAAAAACTTATAAATAACTATTTCAATGATTTTGAAAAATATAAGCATTAAATTTTAAAATATTGCACAAATATATGTAAAAACAAAAAGTAATAATTATATAAATTATATAAAATGTGTAAATTGTTATCAACTCATATTACTTTTTTAACAATAGAAATAAATAGTTTATTTATATAAATCATTTTTGTAAATATACTGAAAACAAGTGAATTATATATCAGTTATCAATAAATAACTATTTCAATAACTTTTTGGCTTTTTAGGCAATTATATACAACAATTTAATACAGTTTAAATAACTATTTTAACAACTATTTGACTTTTTTTAGCAACTATAAAATTTATAATAGAGTATAAAAATTATTTAAAGTGATTTTATTTTGAGAACACATTTTAATTATTTAAATATTTCTTACTTTTTCACAATTTCTCAAAAAACTTTATCCAAAACTTGGATTGACATACATATGTTTCGAGAGGTAACTCCTCTCTCATCAGTGTCACTGAGATTATGGCCGCTAAGACCTATCTCAACACTTGTTGTACTCTATGATGTAGTGCTGGATCGGGTGTTTGGCTCGAAATTAGTATCAATTAGTGATTTATTTGATATGTTTATTGTATGGGAAAGTTTAAAGTATTTTATTTACAGTATATTTTTAATGTAAATTATTTACAGATTCTATGGCAAACTATATGTACAGTTAAAATCTGTAAATAATTTACATTAAAAATATACTGTAAATAAAATACTTTAAACTTTCCCATACAATAAACATATCAAATAAATCACTAATTGATACTAATTTCGAGCCAAACACCCGATCCAGCACTACATCATAGAGTACAACAAGTGTTGAGATAGGTCTTAGCGGCCATAATCTCAGTGACACTGATGAGAGAGGAGTTACCTCTCGAAACATATGTATGTCAATCCAAGTTTTGGATAAAGTTTTTTGAGAAATTGTGAAAAAGTAAGAAATAGAGTATAAAAAATTATTAATCAATACACTAATAATAACTTATAAATTATTTTTATATACATTTTCGGTTAGTTTAATATTAATAAAAAAAACCCGAAACCTAAACATACGTTAGTTTGTAATAATGTTTGTCCTATCGGTTGACAAACAATGCTATGAATACCAGTATTTAACCGAATATTAAATTTTAATTTAGAAATATTGTAGAAAATAAAGTAAATTTATTAATACTTTATTAGAAAACTCTACAAATAATAGTGTAATAAATAGGAAACATATGTATTAATAATGTTATGTATGATATGTTTGGCGCTCAACACAAACACATTGCAGTGTTTATTGTATTAACAAAACATATCAACTAATCGTTGATTTGATTGCAAATGGATATCAATTTAGTCTTTGAAAATCCACTTAAAGACTGTGACTTACAGTCAAACGTACCAAACATTGCTATTACTGAAGAATGTATTATTGGTATCGATGAGGCCGGAAGAGGACCTGTTTTAGGTGATTACCATTTAAATGACAATTGTCAATATATATGTCAATATATAATATRTCAATATATAATATATCTAAATGTTATCATCAATTGATTATCTTAACATTTTTGTTGATCACCACAATTAGGTCCAATGGTTTACAGTTTGGCTTACTTTCCATTAAGGGATGAAAAGGATCTGAAAAAATTGGATTTTGCTGGTAATGGATATTATCTCCGATTGATTGCTATTTGATTATATGATTACTATTTGACAATAGACTCAAAGACATTAACTGAAGAAAAACGAGAAGATATATTTGAAAAGATTGGTCGAAATAACTACAAGAATATCGGTTGGTTGTCCACTGTTTTATCGCCGGTCACTATAAGCAACTCAATGTTTAAAAGGTTTTCATTTTATTTTATTTTTTGTATAACAAATTATTTTTGTATTGTATTTAATAGATTTTATAATTAATTTTTAGATCAAAATACAATTTGAATCAGTTATCTCACGACACGGCTATAGCATTGATCAGACGCGCCAAACATAATGGCATTCAAGTTAGCAAAGTATTTGTTGATACCGTGGGTCCGGCAGATAAATATGAGGCCAAACTTAAGAGTCTATTTCCCGATATTAAGTTTAAAGTTGCCAATAAAGCCGACTCTATTTACCCGATTGTGAGTGCGGCCAGTGTTTGCGCTAAAGTGATTCGCGATAGAGTTGTAAATAACTGGAAATTTATTGAACCAAATATGCAGTTTAGTCGTGAAGATTACGGTTCCGGTTATCCGGGAGGTCAGTGATAATTTAATTTTAACAGACATTGTTATAATATTATATAATATTAAATTCGATAATTTTTTCTGAGATTAGATCCAAAAACTAAAAAATTTTTGTCACAAACAATGGATCCTTTGTTTGGCTTCACATCGTTTGTTAGGTTCAGTTGGTCTACAATTAAGACAATTCTGGATGAAAAGGCCATTGAATGCGAATGGTTTGCAATTTAAATTCATTAACAATTGAAATAATATTTTATTAAATAATTATCATTAACTGATAGGGAAGAGGAAGAAGATGAAGATAAACAACAGTTAAAGTCAGAGACGACTACCAAAAAGATTTCAAATTATTTCAATGCCGCCAATAAAGTGGTAAAACCAATTAAAAAGCAAAAAGTTAACACATTTTTTAAAGAAAGAAATCTTAAATTTTTTAATAATTTAAGTGACTTAAAGTTTTAATATTTTTATATTGTTTTTATCATTTTTATAAACCATTACCGGTATATGTTTTACAAAATATTTTTAAACAATTTTAATTTTTGTATTTAAAAACATTTAAATATTTCTATATTAAAATCCATCACATATTTTCTCGACCACCTAATAATAATAAATGCAAACAAATTATTACCAATAATAAAATTAACTTAATAATTATAAGTAATTAAAATAAATTACACTCATTTCCATCATTACGGCATCAATACATCGGTGGACAGCACTTAACAAAACTTCATCAATCAAGACGTAAACCAAACTGTCGAAGAAATTTGTTTATAATAATGCATTTACCGGTAATATACAAATTAATACATACTTTTCATCGGAGGCGTACTGCCAGACATGGGTTTGCAAGTAATACGAGTCGACTTGCATTTGCTGTAAACCATATCGACTGAATGTACACAACCGGACGCACTCTATTAATGTCTAATGTTTTTATTAATTGATTTAATTTTAGATCATTTGCTTGCTTTTGAAACTTACTTTAAGACCTATTTTGATAACTCCAGTCAAAACAGAAAGTCGTGAAAACTCAACCGAACCGAAGATTTCAATCCGTTCGGTAAATAATTTTTGGATATTTGACATAAGACTGTTGTCAAAAGTGCTGCCAAATGTAGATAATATCACAATTTATAACTTTATTGGACTTAACTTTCTTAAAGATCAACAACAAAATCAAAAGCATTCAAACCTCGGTCCATATGCGCTCCAATTCGATGATTTATTGGCCGAATGCCGATTCCCGACTCCAATAGCACTAAAAGTTCGACGACTTTTACTAGAATCTGAACTTCTTTCAAGTCTCAGTCCTTCCTCATAGAGTTGTCCGACCTGTGAATCAATTTGCGAAATATCTTCAATCACTCTTTTCATGACTGACCGCACAGATCGTGGCTCAACAGTACTCAACCAATCTCTTGTTTCGACACTTTTCCTAATCATTTGAGAGATGTTATGTCCTTCGAGCCTAACGTAATGGTTAAGTAGTTTTTGAGCCGTTTCTCGCGCTTCTTTACATAGATCAGACACTGATGTTATATTTTGATTATTACCGTTATTGTTATAAATATTGAACTGTTCATCGGTGAAGGATAAAAGATAACCGATAATAGATGTTTCAAAGTCAAGACAGAGTCGGGATAATAATAAAATGAGTTGAGATGGAGGAGATGTTGCGGTCGAATAATTCTTTTCGTATTCTAAAGAATTTGATAAAATATGTCGAATAAAACCGATGACAACTACTTCGCGGGCGAATCTCGAGCTAAAAATCTGCTGAAATTGTGTTTTTGCAGCAAATGTCACCTCTGGATCAGTAAAAGGCATGAGTGCCGCCACAACTGATTTAACGAGTTCACTGATCGATGTCTGCAATGTTATCAATAGATCTGTTATGGTTTGCTTTTCTTTGACAATATGTCGTGAAGTGGACACAGTTTGTAACGAAGTAGTACTCAATATAGAGTGTCTAATATTAGTCAATTCTTCCTGATATTTAATCCTCAAGTAATTCAACAGTTGTTGGCACTGATCTTCACTGGCCTTCTCCACAATACTCATAGCTTTGATTGAAAAGTCGCTCAAATCGTAGATCCGATTAAGAGTCAAAAGTCTTTTATATAATCTGTCGACTGCTCTGACAAATACAACCGTATCGTTGAGTGACATCTTTTCCAAATGAAGTCGCTTTAGTATAATATCAAAAAATTTATCCATATTTTTATCGACAAACTCTTTTAAAGTAGTTTTAATTATTTCAATTGAATTATCTTTTGATAACTTATTATATGACTTCTGTAGAAAAGTATCCGAAAAGAATTGTATAGAAAGCGATAAATTACTTAAAAATCCGTTACAACCGATGTCTATGTATTCAAGAATATCCTATAAATTATTTTCATAATTATATCAATCAATTAAATGATCATAAAATCATTGGTATTATTGTGCTAACCATAAGTGTTTGTGAATCATCTGAATTAGTGTTCACCACTTTATTTGCCAAATCATTTTGATAGTAGAGCTCTGAAAAGTTAATGTCGAGCCTCTTGTCGACCCTAAATGTTAAATACATTTATGACAATTAAAATGTCATTTATATTAATTGATTAATACATACATAAATAGGTATTCCCGACACAGCTTTTCTGTGGGCTCTTTCAGTTTAAGCAACAATTCTATACTTTCATTCAATTGGTTGGGAGAAGCCTTCAAATTAAATTAGTTTTATATAAGTTATTAGTAATATATATTCATATTAAGTCATAAAATTTCAAATAAAGACCTCTTGATTAGTCAATTGCTGATATAATTTATCTTTCAATTGGTTGACAATTATCAGACATTCTTCATTAATGGCTTGAATTGACGGGAAATGAATATATAGTCCTAATGTCTGTTCGGCTCTCAAATAACACTTCACGGCTTCATTGTATTGATTTTGTTCAATAGATTCACGCATTTTTGGTGATAATTCAAAGAGAAATTGCAATTTAGTCAATACATCGTGAGTGTTGGCTAACTTTGAGAGATCACCCCTTCGACCCTTTAAATTGGTTGATATTTGTTCACTATTTTTGGTGATCTCTTCCATGTTTGTCGATAACAAAGTCAACTCTTCTTCCATTTTGTCGAAATGAGAACTCATCTGAAGTGTCATACAAGTGGTTGTTATTATATAAATGATTAAATTAATTGACAATAAAATCAATTACTTTTTGTATGGTTTCTGTAGCGCTGATGAACTTATTGTAGTTCTCGTAAACTAATGTTTGCATTTCGCTGTCCAGCGATTGGATCTGTTTGTAGAGACTCTGTTCTGTTTCCATCAATTCAGATAATGTACTGTCTTTGAGTAACTGATCCCACAAAATATCATCAAAAATAATAAATATTAGTTATATATAACACAATTATATACAATAAGAAAATAAATACTTTATTCAAATAGAGATCACAATTGAATTCAGCGCTGTTTATGTCAAACGGATCACAAATGGATGAACCGGTGGTCATCTGGTGGTCACCACTCGGGTAGTGTTGTTTGAGACCAGACCTACTGCGAGGTCGATCACCGCTTATATCTGATATTAACACACAATATATCAACACATAAGACGACAATTTAATTAATAGTACAGTACTTACCGTTTGTCGACATTATCTCATAAGTAATAATCGCATCAAATTGTGTCCAAAAATTCAAAACTTTATTGTATTTTCACTGAAATTTGTATAAAATTTAATAATATTTGTATCATATGTTTAATGTTATGATTGAGTCCAACAATGATGTGTCAGTCAATACACACATCAATACTATGTTTAYATATAATATAGTTGTTATGTATTGAATGAAAGTGTCATTTCAGGCAATCATCACTTGAAATAAATTAATTGTTTATAACTTTTTTTTTAAGAAATAACATTATTTTATTTTTTAAACAGTTAATTGTTAATTAAATTACAATTATTATAAATTAAATAAATAAATTTTTAACAAACGACTATAATACTGTATAATACATATAGAAAACTTTATAAAAATTTATTAATAACTATAGTTAAGTAAATTTTAAAAACTAAACTTTTAAAAATTAGATAAAAATATAGTTTTCAATATTATATGATATATGAGTTAATGCATAATTTATTAATAAATTTGAATTTTATAATTACTTACACAAACTAAATATTGTTAAATGGATGATAGCTGAGGGATGTGTGTGTGTGTGTGTGTGTGTGTGTGTGTGTGTGTGTGTGTGTGTTGCCGATGGAGTCAGAAGCACCAGGACTGCAGGAGTATCACTAATGGACATACACTCCTGCGGCGCTAGTACTTAGAACTCAGCGGCCAATTCATGTCCACAGATATGATAACTTGTATTTTCTGGTCGTATTGATGGTCACATACACACTGACTGATCGCACAATAAAATGCGAATGAAGTTTCAATTGATGGCAAATCCAATTCATATATACAATCATTTTAATTAGTTTTACTATTATTACTATTGGTCTTATTATTATTATTATTATTATTATTATTATTATTATTAATTATTATTATTATTATTATTATTAATATTATTATTATTATTATTATTTAATATATTATTATTATTATTATTATTATTATTATTATTATTATTATTATTATTATTATTATTATTATTATTATTATTATTATTATTATTATTATTATTATTATTATTATTATTATTATTATTATTATTATTATTATTATTATTATTATTATTATTATTATTATTATTATTACTATTATTATACAGATCGCAGACAATGTTAGAACTGTATTATGACTCATAAATTCAATGTTAGGCTTAATTAATATTAATAAGGAAGTCATTGATACAGTGCTTAAACGTTGGGATCCATACCGTAGTTTAAGTGTTGATAATAGAGTAGTAGTTATTTTTATTATATAAATTAATGTATAATAAGTGGACAATTATTGTGTTATTTCTAAGCTTAGTATTTGCCATTTGATTGCTAACCCATCATTTGATACATTCAAAAGTTGACAAATACGATATAATTTCCTTTTTAGTATTTCTAATAAAAGTTCAGAAATACATTTTTACACTTTTTTACAATAAATATAATTTACAATTTTATAGATTTTTTGTAAAAGTAAAAAGTAAAAAAAATGTTGATCTAAAAACTTGTGCCAAAGTTTACGACATCATTGACATCAAATCAATATTATATTTATACAATTTATACAATAATATTGTACTTTATAATTGAAATTATTTATGTGTATAATTACATGTTACATATCGTAATATAATAATATAAATTAGTACTACAGTATAATAAACATAAATTTTAATTAATTCAAATTTCAAACTTTTATTTTATATGTTATGTAAATATTAAAAAATAGTATAATTTTGTTTTTATTTTTAGTTACTAGTGTTATGTTTATTTGATAATTATTTTTTTAATCTTACAGTAACAAAAAAATTTATTAAAATTATTAGTGCAGTTCGTAATAAAAATTTACAAACTATTATTGTATATTAAAATAAATTATATAATGATATTTTCTATAATTTAGATGAAAATAAATTTTTAAAAAATTGTTAATTTTATTAAATAAATATAAAATAAGTAAATAAGCTCATTGTTATACAATCAACAAATATTATACATATTTACATAAAGATAACAATTATAGTACTAATGATTAAGTAAAGTGTGTTTAAGTATGAATCCTCATATGACGGTTCAAATTACCCGACTGTGAAAACCTGATGAGACAGAGCTGGCACTGGTATGGCTTTTCTCCCGAATGAATGCGTAAATGCTTTGTCAACGTAGAGCTATCTGAGAAGGCCTTCTTACACATACAGCACCGGTAGGGACGCTCTCCTGAATGAGTTCTCATATGTGTTGTCACTGACGACGACTGCGAGAATCTTCGCTCACATACCGGACATCTGAAAGGCTTCTCACCGCTATGGGTGCGGATATGTGCCGTCAGGTTTGCCGCCTGAGAGAAGGACTTATTGCATGTATTGCATCTAATTTGACAACAATTTCAACAATTAATTTCTTACAAAACATTGTCATCAGATTATGTTAAACCAATACCTGTAAGGTTTTTCACCAGAATGTGTCCTTAAATGAGTTTTCAGAGTCGATGGTCGGGCGTATGTTTTACCACAGATGCGACACAAGTTATTTGAATATATATTTTCAGGATTTTTATCGTTTATTTCACGACTAGAAGTTAATGTATTTGTTTGAACAATATTATTGTGATTATTATTATTGTTATTCATATTATTTAAATCATTGATACTATTATGACTAGATTTATTGCTTCTACAGTGATGGTGAATATGACATTGAAAGGGGTCACTGTTGGTCATTGATTGACAGTTTTGGTTGGTTTGATTAGTTTGGTTATTTGTAGTTGTTGTTGGTTTAATGGGACAAATATTATTCATATTATTAATATAATCTTTATCAATTTGTCCTAAATTTGTATTGTTTATATGCTCTGATGGTCTAATCTCTGCCGTAAAGGTATAGGATGTGGGAGATGGAGATATGTATGAGGAAGAATGTATGTGATGGTGAGGCAATGCAGTATTAGAAGATTGATTTGTATTGTAATTGGGAAATGTTGGTACCGGAGCCGACCATTGAATTTGTTGTGACTGATCATTATTGGTAAAACCCATTGTCATATTCATCGATAGATTGACACTCATGGAAGCTGTCGGTGTATGCGGTGAAGAGTTATGGAAGTGCTCTGGTATTGAATTTGTTGTATGAGATCCATGACTTGTTAGACTAGAAGTATAATAATTGCTATTTGGGTTCATTGAGATTTGCGGGTGAATAACATAAGAAGCCGGGGATGACGGGGTTGGAGATTGAGGTATAGTATTAGTGTAGGCATTAGTGCCATAAAAATATGTCGGAGATGTCGACTGAGGAAAACAAGAACTTAGTGGATAAGCGGAACTTTGAAGAGGTGGTCCATTATATGGGTGACTATAATAGTGTTTTGTTGGCGACAAAAACGATGGCTCCGGTGGTTGAGATGAAAACATACACTGTCTGTCTGACTTTATATCTGTGACCCTATTGTTGGGCTCAGGTTTGCTATGAAAAATATATTGCAAATAATTAGTACATTTTAATAAGTGGATAGTAATTGACAGCATATTATATACAGTACTGTACAGTAAAGAGTAGAGTAGAGTAGAGAGAGAGAGAGAGAGAGAGAGAGAGAGAGAGAGAGAGAGAGAGAGAGAGAGAGAGAGAGAGAGAGAGAGAGACTATAATGATTTGCATTTAGCTTATAAATAGTGTGCACTTATAGTATGTGAATTAAATAAGGGAAGTGGATTAAAAGTAGTTTAAAACAAGGCGCTAACCTGACTGACCACCCAAACAGATTTTTATGTTACTTATACAGTATATAAGTTAAATATAGTGATGCCGTCAAAGTATAATTAGCAAAAACAAAATTTCATTTAATATACATACTTATTGTTTGATGAATTATAACTGCCATATAATGTGATTGGATCCAAATCCATGATCTGTGTATCAGTTACTGTATTACAAGACAAGTCTCCACAATATGTTAATTGACTGCCAGTCGTGCAATAGTCGATAGATTGAGTATCAAAGTGTTTGTGTATTAGTTTTACCGCTTCGCTCGGCTCTTGACTGTCCAAACTTGCAAATGACGGCACATTGCATGACATATATATATTATTATCCATTTTTAAAGCTTTTATTTATATAACGAACATAAATAAAATCATATATAGTATTATTGAAAGCTTATAACTGTTTTATATTAAATACTGTTTATAATTATTGCTTTTAAAAATCATATTTTATATTAATTATTGAAAATATTATATACAATATTTAAAAACAAATTTCTGAGTGAAGCATTTCAATTGACTTGAAAACAATTATTTTAATAAGATATTTAGTTTTTTTTAAACTCAAATTTAGTAAACATATAGACTAGAAATTAATGCAATACCAAAAGCAATAGTCACTGATTTTATTTTCAAGTCTAGAATAACGGGAAAACTTATTTGTCTCTCAAAATATTGTTTATGGCTTCAAAATAAGTAAAACTTATATTATTTTTAGTAAAACCCATTTTAAGGCTCTATAATATTTTCTAAGAGAAACTACTGAGTGGTACCGAAAATCAATGGACAGTCAAAAGCACGGGTGATGTTAGGTTATGTCACGTCCTTCCAGTTTTATTGGTTGTCCAACAAATCGATTGATTTGTCCCAAAAAATATAGGGCTATTCAATGTTGTATTTTGTACATCATTTTACTGTAAATGCTTTTAACTTATTAAGGTTTCGCTTACAATTTCAAACTATTTATATAAATAAATCTCTCTTTGCTATTAAGGTTTCCAAATTAAAGTTTACAATAGTATGTAATGCATTTAATTTAATAAAATAATTATTATAAATAAATGAACAAATTGTATTCAATGCAATAAATACTAATCAATCGTTGTTCAACTCAATAATCAACTAATCATAAGAGTATATTATTGCTATATTATCCATATATCAGACTATAATATATACTAGATTTTCTGTTTGTAGTCTAAATATAGTGTATATACAGTAACTGTTTTAACGATAAAAAGATTTGTTTGTGAAAGACATGTGAAAATAGTTTTAACAAATATATCATTATTTTTTAAGAAGATTTATAAAGTGTTTTTGGTATAAAAGTGTGTTTGGTTTAAGTTAAGTGTCACTAAAGTTTAGAAGTGGACAGTCATATGAAGAGGGTTTCCGTATCATTCTGTAGGGTTCATACTGTACTTCACAGCAGGTCTTATCTTTTGTAAAGCGCCGGCCTATATGTGAAACATTGCATACCCTATCAATTACATCCAATACTTATTAAAATTAGAAGTCAATAACTTCTCAAATATTTTCAATACAAATATGATTCATATATGCTTTAAATCTGAATATTTGACATTAAATACATTTTCATGTGATTTTATAATAGGCTCTATACTGTACTGTAAATTAATGTATATCAAGTTTATATTTTACTATACATACAAATTTTAATTATATTGAAAATATGCAAAAAAAAACATTAAATTAAATCATTTGTGTTTTAATATACAGTATAGCAAGTGTTAGTCAGTATAGCAAACCGCTTGCGGTTTAAAGCATTTATCAAATGTAATAAATGCAATAAAATGTTTTGCTTTTTATAATGTTTAATTCAATTGAAATAATAGACGCAATGCATATATATAAAAAAGAGTTAATCAATAAATTTTAAACCATTGATTACATTGATTGTAATATATTGAAGGGTTAACTCTATGAGTATATGCTATATATAACACGTATTATCCCAATGTATGGTCTTTTGCCACAACGTGTGTCACAAAGTATTTTAAATGTAAATATACACAAAAGATTTTAAAATAAAATTGAGAGCTATTTAATGATATCAATCGGATAGTCATATGTCTGATATTATAGATGATTGCATTTGAATAAAATGAGAGGCTTATAGACATAGTATTAGTCGGCTTATTGGATATCATAAAAGCAGTGTTATAGTGAATTATAGACAACCAATATGTAGAGACAGTGCTAAACAAAACACATATGAAATACATTGAAATATATTTAACTACTAAATGCTTATCAAGTGATATCAAATCAATTTACAAACTATGAAATGCAAACAATTATTGAGTGTTCAATGATTTCTTCTATGCTTTTATTTGTTAGTAGTATACATATTGAGTGCTTTATTGAAACACTGTTTTATATTACTATTGATGACCAATGATGAGAGCCATAAGCACGTGCTGATCGGGACAATCCTATTTTAGGGCATTAAGGCTATACCCCATTTGGGGATATCATATGAATCATAATACCCTTTCCAATGCTTCCTACTTTTATTGTCACTGCAATCATCCGACCAAATATATAAAGTAATTGCTTGTTATTATAAAAAGTTTGTTTTAATTGTTACACTTAAGAAAAGAGTAGCCAAAGAGTAAAACTTTTGAATACAAACTTTTTTTTGAGTACAACTATGTGTCCGCCGTTAACTCGTTTTGATTCCATGAATGTGGCCAACAATTTCCCGATGGTTTCACCGATTGATAATTATTGCAATCCAAAGACAGATGATGCGGTCATTATAAGTGCCACAATAAATGCTCAAAATTGGTCTCATTTGCCACTCAAGAAGAGACCAATCAAAGAGAATAACTGTGAAAACAATTTTATGCCAAACTATAAGCCCTACAAATGCTTTGAATGCGGAAAACAGTTCTTTAATGGAGTCAGATATCGGGCACATCTTCGCCGACACGAAAGTAAACGAAGCGGTCGTTACATGTGTTGCATCTGTCGCAAGACGTTTGTCCAAAGATCGAGTCTGACCACACATTTGCGGATACATACGGGAGAGAAACCATTTGACTGTACCGTATGTTTTGAAAGATTTGGCGACTTTTCCACTTATACTAAGCATAAGCGCATCCATTCCGGAGAAAAGCCTTATTCGTGTCCCATATGTAACCGTTCATTCTCTCAAAGTGGAAATATGCACAGACATCTCAAAGCACTACATCAACCAGAAACTACCATTCCTTTACCATATCTATTGTGATGTTAATAATGCAATAACTTTTTACAAATAGTTTTTATTAATAATTAATGTTTAATACATTCCATAATTTAATGTTTGTTTTAATTAGTCAAACAATTTAAAAGTTTGTAATTTTTATTATAATTTGCTTATAAATTTACATTATATATATACATAGTTTTAATATCTAGGTCTTCTTAATTTAATTTAATGATTTTTAAAAAGTTTTGTTGTAATCATCTAAAATATAATGTAATATTCAATTGTTTTAAAACTTAAAAAATAAATAATTATGTATTGTTTTTTGACTGAAAAAATATTGAAGGATTTGAATATTTTAAATTTTTTATTAACAATTGAATATTCAATAGGATGGGAGAGAGAGAGAGAGAGAGAGCATAGCTTGCAGTGTAATGTTATATCATTGTTATGTCTTAAACTGGTATGTTTGGTAAGTCCTACTACTGTAGGTAGAGGTAAGCTAAGAGTGCTGTTATAACACCAACTCCTCTGCATTCAGGTGTGTATTCAGTGGTGTTTTCACTGATGCAGTCAAGCATTGCATTGCACGACACGACCCAACCATTACTTCGTTATATGTCATGGCTTTACTCAACAATATACCTCAATATATACCTTCCATACCTGTGCTTGTATTACGAGTGCTATTTTTGTGTTATTTCTGTATACCATTTGCTGAGTGCATACACTGTTTAACATTGATTATGTTTAATAATGTTTATTTGTTTTAACATAAGTTAAGTCTAATTATATTTAAATAGAAAAATATGTATTTCATTCATAGTGTCAAATGTTTGACAAACAGTTGTTGTGTATTATATTTTTGGTGACAATTTTTGTTGTACAGTATATCAGTGATAACGTTTTAAGGCACTGGTAGGGAACATATTGTCATCCATCAGCCCACTAGTGCTCTAATGTTATATACTGTACTACATAGCAATGGAGCAGAGGAAGAGAGTGCTTACATTTTTGACATTTTTTATATGTACGGCATGTCTGGCCTTTTTGACGGCATCATTGGCCACACATAAGTGGATTGTGGCCAAACCAGTTAGGATTGCTTTGATCAACACGTCATTGACTATCAATGAAACAATCGGTGATCCCGACGACAACTCCGGTAAATTTCGCGGAGAAATATACTTTGGGCTCTTCTATGGCACAAAAGTTTTGAACTATGGTTTTGGTAACAGAATCACTGGCATATCAAGTATGGCTTTAATGTCTATTTTTGTCATTATTTTCTCTCATATCACTGCCAAACAAATATAACTCAATTGACATTTCTTATGAATTCATAATTATTGGCAAATATTTTTAATTCATATGAATTAGTTTTCGCAAATATTTGTTTTAGCAATTGATTTCACTTTTTTTATTTGATTTGTTTTCCCTTTCAATCATATGTGTTATTTGATATTTTTCATTTATTTATACTTCTATTTTATTGATATTATAGTTATTTTTACAATAGTTTATTTTTTAAATATATGAGTTTAATGCATAATTTATTATTTAAATTTATATTATTATACATTAAGATTCACGTCGAATAATAATAAAATGCAAATTTTAATTTTTTTTCTAGTGGTAAAAATAAAATACCCATTTAATGATTTTATTTACTAATATAAACAATTTAAAAATATAATTAACATGTATGTTACAACAGTAATTTATTATAGTATAACTTACATTAAAAAAACTAAATTATTATATTAAATAAATCACTTTCATTTATTTAGTTTTATAACTTAGTAGTGATTGCATAATAAATTAAAAATAGATATGAAATTATTGACAACAAATCAGTTGATTTATCAAAATTGTTTTATTTAATTGTCTTATCATCAGTGAAACAATTGGTGCGTAACTTTACACCAAATTATGCCTCAAGTAATCACTGATCACTGAGACTCTACTTTTGTGACTCTTATCTATTGAAAGACAAAATCATAAAAAAATATTATAACAAAACTTGATATGCATTTAGATCACAAAACTGTTATAACATACTGTATATTATTTCAAAAAACACAAATTTCATGTTTTGAAACTTGTTAAACAAATACAGCAATTTTTGTGTTGATTTAAAAATTAAAAACATTAAGTTTTTTAACTTAAAAATTAAAAAAACACAATTATTTTTAGATTTTTCTAATTTTATAATACATTTTTTTTATATAATACGACACCGCCTTTAGTGATCATTTAATTAACGATTGACTGATTTTTTCTTTCATTTCATGTATGGCATTGAAAATACAAAAATCAGTGAAACAAGAATTGTCCAAAAATGACAATTTCATGGTTTTTGGTTTATGGCTGTTCACTGTCCTGTGTGTGGCCATTGCGATGTTGTTTGGGATCGTTAGCTCAGTGTTTGCAATCATCAACACTGTTATGACTCCCATTGAAGTCATTACTGGAATTCAGGGCCTATTCTTGTGGAACGGATTAGCAGGTAATCAACTAATCGATGAAATAATTAGATGTTTCGTAACTAAATTTTTTTTATTGTTGCTATTATTCACTTATTATTCAGTTTTTATTCAATAGTTAAATCATTTGTTAGTTTATTATAATTACAATTCACGAGTCATACAAAAAAGCAATATCAAAGTCAAGTACCTAAAGGCCATTACTATCGTTAGCTATAATAGCTATACTAATAATTATAGTTTTGATATTGTACTGTACTTACTGTATGTTAACTATATATCTTTGAAAACTTTTAAATCTAATATTATTATGAAATTAGATTTATTTTTAGATATTATTGTCTTTTAATACATAGAAATGCACCGAACTTTATACAGTATTTATAAAAGTTTACCAAAAGTTTATTTTTTAACACTTTTTTGCATTAAAATTAAAAAACAGGTTTACTATATTTTTGTTCATTAGAGGACCTTATTTTAGTATAAAAATTAGTTAAACGTTATCATTAAGCATTAATTTTCTATTATTGTATGTTATTTAGTTTAAAATTTGTATAAATTATTATTATGATTAATATTGCAATATTTTGTAATATACTGTACTCTAATATTGTATTGTATATATCAAAATACAATACAATACGGCACACATTTAAAACATTTAATTATATTACTCACGATATATTTGCAGTTAAATTAATTGTATAAAGAAATCGTTATTAAATATACAAAATAATAGACAATTAATATTTTTATTTGTTATATTAAGTTAAACACATAAACAACAATCATGCTTAGCATTGAATTCAATTGTTTATCAGAAATAAATTATTATTAATAACAGAAGCACTTAATTAATTTTAAATATTTAGAAAAGATTGAAATTTAAATTAATGGTATAAAAGTTGCACCATTTATATTAATAAATAACTAATACAGTATATGATACACAATTTTTAAAATGTTACAATTATTCGTAAATCTAAAATTTTATTAAACATTAAATTTTTAAATTAATGCTTAAGTGACCACTAAATGATTTTTTAAAACAAATAATAATTTTATTTATTATATTACGTGTATTTCAAGTTTGATATAATTTAAAATCTATTATCCTATATATGATATTATACTATATTAACGAATCGTTTAAGTTAAATCAACCCAACCCTAACTTTTATTATTTTAAAATTTAATGTTTTTTTTTATAAAAAAAAGTTAACCCACCCCTCAAAAAGTTATATAATTAAGATGTAAGACTTTTAAACATATTTTAAATGTCATTTGACTTTCTTTTTCAATTTCTGAGCTAACAATTGTCAGTTAAAAACTTTATATAATATTAAAATGATTTTTATATATTTGAACAAAATATTATTTAAAATATTGTTACTATAATTACAATATAAGTGCAGTAATACAGTACAAACTGAACACTGTTTTCAAAAATTTTACAAAAGTCCGAATGAGAGCAAAATTGATTGTTTAGTTCAGATATCACTTATCACTGGATTTTTGTTTAGACTATTATAGTACTTAAATATGAGGTCAATATATCTTAATTAATGATTACATTCTTAAATCTCTCTCTCTCTCTCTCTCTCATCCAATCCTTTAGTTGATAACAAAATCTTTTAATCAAATAAATGAGTCATAGATATGACAATATATGTGATACTCTGCCAATGACTTTATAATTATATATATATATATATATATATATCTACCGTAAGTTTCTAATACATGATATTATAATTTGTATTAATAGCACTGTTTTGTATGTTTGGTGGCATCAGTTGGTTATTTCAATACAAGAATAGTCTTCGTCGTAATGTCTTGACTCAAGACGAACAATCTGATGGTTGGACATCGGATGGCCGTTCGTGGTTTGGCTACAGTTACTTCTTCGTCATAATAGCTTTAGTATTATTTTTACTGAACATTATTTTAGTCTACTTAGCCATCAAACCGTCAAAAATTCGTGAGACTCGAACCGCGACCGATAAGAATCCTGAGGGAGTTATTATGTTATATTAAGTTTTATACAAATTTAATATTATATATAAATGTATTGTAAATATATATATATATAAAATATTGAAGTGCCACTCACTTTTTATATTAATTTTTTTAGTCTTTTATTAAGTTTTTAAAACCTAAAAAAGTTGCCATAAAAACACAAATCATTCGTTTTAAACATTTTGTTAAATATTTCATACATTAATTAAATTCATTTATTACCAAAATAAATATAGTCTTAATTTTAAATTAAGATATCAATATTTTTCCAAATATAAAATGTATTTCATTTTTTTATACATAAATATGATATTTATATGATTTATAAGTTTATATAAACACGATATACAGTATATGATGTATAATGAAATGTCAATTATACAAATTGAAAACTTATACGAGATGTAAACAATATAACTTATAATTATCATTTTCAATGATAATCTAAATAAAATTTAACAAAAAAATGACATTAAAAATGAGTTAATAAATTAATGCTCAAAAAAATATTCGCTAAAAATAAGTATTTAAAATAATTGCAATTATACTAAAAGATAACTTAATAATTGTCCTAAACTTCAAAACTTTTATTAAAATTAATGGATTTCAGTACTGATCCAAATCCATTACTAACACTATTATTGTTATTATCATTATTCTTGCCATCGCTGGTCAGACTCTTCATCGATTGTCTGAAATGTTTTAACTCGTTTTCGTGATCTTTTGAGTGCATCGGTAGGTATGACGAGGGCTCACACAAGTTCTGATCATTAAATAAATAATGTGATTAATGATTATAAACACAATTATATATATATATTGATAATTACCGGATACATCTCGAAGAAGGCTTTGTATCCGCCTTCGAGTAAATAAACCTCCGGATGATGTAGTCGTGGATAGACATCTTTGTTAACCCAACGATCGTTATTACGCAAGAAACGAGATCTACAGACAATCAAAAGTAAGAATAACTCTTAGAAAGAGTTGTTTGAATGAATCGATAGACAAGAAATGTCATACAAAGTGGGTCCGCGTTCTGAGGAGAACTCGCAGTGAAAGATAAGAATTTGGCGCTTATTATCGTCTCTTGTGTTTTCCTTTTCTTGAGGTTCCGACGGCTTCTGTGTCTTATTGTTGATGTAATCTTCAAGAATGGCTTCTTTTGTGAAAACATTTTTGGCGCCACGAATGTGTCCGCCATTATATTCATAGGGATACCGGCAGTCAATGACCGTATACTCAGCTATGGCGTCGCTATAATTGTCTTCAAGAAGTTGTGCCAAAACTGCAGCCGATATCGACTTCAAATCCTGATGTTTGCCGCGAACTAATGGTAATGCATAAGATTTGCTGAAGTCGCCGATTAGTGATGGATCGGAGCAAGACTTTTGGACAGCGGTCATGACTGCGGCCGACTGGACGGCGTCATTGGCCGAGTAATAACGGAAAAGTGGTGTCCGCTTGTGTTGAGACAGTTTGTTTGATAGCTTCCGTCTCTTTACGGGCAAATGGTTGGTCATTGGTGTCACACTTTTGTCCATTGGATCCATTTCTTTGTGTATCTATTGTGTGAATCCCTCGCTCTCTAACCTCTTAATGCATTCAAACTGAAAGCCCTCTCTTCTGGCAAACCGTAAGCTTCAGTCAAACCWCGTGACCATCACTTTTGAAAACACTATACGTTAAGCACAACAACCAGAGTTACCACATATACAGATACATCTGTATTAACATCACATCAAATCATATTTCAGAAATACTGTATATAATTGACAATTTAACTCAACAAAGGCTTATAGTCTATAGATATTTAGACTCATTTATAATAGTCCTAAATTTACGGTACTTAATATTGTGTAAATAATTAAGAGATTAAGAAAGTTTTGAATGTTTAAGGGTTAGTACTATTTTTGATAAGAGTCATCAATTTATAAACCATTTTTTATTTAAAGCTGTCAATTATTGTAATAAAATCTTTCTAACGTTAGAATAAAAATTTTTACTTAAATTTCATCACTAAATTCATAGCCATAATGTAAATCTACAATATGTATAATTGTTTTTTAAAAAATTATTAGAATATTTATGCATTAAATTTAGTAACAAAATTTAGGTAAAATTTGCTACTTTTGCGTTAGAAATATTATATACTTTAATTGAATTTTAATTTAAATAGTTATCAAATATATAAACAATATTTATATTATATTAAAGTTATACTATTATATTAAAAATAAACTTTATTTATAAGTATAAAAAATAAAGTGATGTTATGAAATAAGTTGGTCACTCTGGTTGCAGATCTTTAAGCGCTGTTTTATTTATACAATTCATACATACAGTGAATGCCATCTGTTTTGTGTGACAAACATAGACACCAATTATCACTTCATTTCAATATACAGTATATAACGACAACACAAGTGATTATACCCTTGAATTGGAGGTAATATTAGTGCAAAGTATTTAAATGACAATTGATTTGTTGTCGGATCTGATTTGCCATTAATTTAAGCGCTAATTAATCACCAAAAATGTCGGTTCATTTGAGGCTTTTTCGACACCAATTGAATGGTAAGTGTATTGATAGTAATGATCTGTTAAGAGGTTTCTTAAGTATAGACAACATACACGACGTGTGAGACTTTGACCTTTGATTTCGGTTATCAATTATTTTGTTTACTATTTCTTTTAAAAATCGATGTCTTCTTCATTATCGATACTCTAGTGTTAAATCTGACGTCCGTTCGACACAATTATACGGCTTCAAGAAGTGCACTGAAGATCAATAAAGAGACAAAAGTGATTTGTCAGGGATTGACCGGCAAACAGGGAACCTTTCACTCACGACAGGCCATTGAATACGGCACCCGAATGGTGGCCGGAGTGTCGCCCGGCAAAGGAGGACAAACACATCTCAATCTCCCCGTCTTTAATACAGTCCAAGAGGTAGAGCTTGATATTCACTAATGGTTTTCATAATTTTTGTTTAACAATCATTTTAAGTAATGATTTATTTTACATATTTTCTAATAGTTTTCTTTATGTTTTGTTTTGTTTATTATAAATTAGTATATATTATATAATTAAATATTGTTTCACTGTTTTAGTGCTAAAATATTTGAATATTGTAACCAATTATTGATAATTTTTATATATGTTTAATATGATGTCAGACATAGATCTATTGCTTACCTATTAATATACTGTAAATTAAATTACTAGTATTGCAATGATTTTAAATGAATTCGATATATTAAATATTTAGAGTTAAAAATTGATATTTTTATAATTATTACTATAATTACCGTAATTTAATAATAGTTGAAATTATTATTTAATATCTCTTATCTTTTGAATTGACCGATTAGTTAAACTTTAAGATAATATTTTTTCGGTTTAAAGTTTAACTGATATAAATATTAAAATGTTTTATTAACTGCTATTTAATGATAATACTGTATAATTAATCTTTAAATTTTGAAATTTATTTAAATATATAGTATTCATAAAATTATTAATATAATTGAAATGTTATGCTAACAGGCCGTTGAAAAGACCGGAGCCGATGCTACTGTGATTTATGTACCGCCAGCCGGAGCCGCAAAGGCTATTAATGAGGCCATGGATGCAGAAATACCTCTAATAGTGTGTATAACAGAGGGAATACCTCAACTAGACATGGTTAAAGTAAAAAATCGGTTGCTTAAACAAAGTAAATCAAGACTAATTGGTCCCAATTGTCCGGGAATTATAAAACCCGGTGAATGCAAAATTGGTATAATGCCGGGACATATTCACGCAAAGGGTAAAATTGGTATCGTTTCCCGTTCGGGTACTTTGACCTATGAGGCCGTGCATCAGACTACACAAGTAGGTTTAGGACAATCATTATGTGTAGGTATTGGTGGCGATCCATTCAATGGAACCAACTTTATTGATTGTCTCGACATCTTTTTGAATGATCCCGAAACCAAAGGTTAGTCAATGATTTAAATGAAACATTTGTTACAAATTAACTGTTTTGATGTAATTTAATATAATATTAAGGAATTATATTGATTGGAGAAATTGGTGGTAACGCTGAAGAATTGGCCGCTGACTTTCTCAAAGAAAACAATACCGGTTCCAACTCTAAACCTGTCGTCTCATTCATTGCTGGTTTAACAGCACCACCGGGTCGTCGTATGGGTCACGCGGGCGCTATAATTGCCGGCGGAAAAGGTGGCGCACAGGCAAAGATTGATGCGTTAGAGAGCGCCGATGTGTCGGTTACCAAATCACCCGCTCAAATGGGTTCAACTCTGCTTCAAGAGATGAAAAAGAGAGGTCTCGCCTAATGGCGTCATTTGATTTAGATTTTTAAAATTTTATCAAATTTTGAAATAATTATACCAATCAAATTATATATGTAATTATAATATATATATAAATATTTATTTTAAATGCAATTGGATTTAACAAAAAAAAACTCGTTATTGACTTAAAGTTCACTATTTGATAGATTTTGTTGAATAATTTGTTGGTAATTGCATTTGATTTATATTATATAATGCTTTAGTGTAACTTTTATTATGATAGTTTCATTTATCTAATCATTTAATAATAAATTTAATTTTATTATACTGTAATTGTATTATTAAATTGTCGTAATTAAAAAAATCAATAATTGAATTTTATTTCAACATATTTTATTGATTTGTTTTCCAAATAACATTATCTTAATAAGACAATGCAATTTATTAATAATTATATATATCTTAATTTTATACAATTTTTAAATCAAATTTCTAGAATTTAAAACATCTCACATAATAATTATAATATATTGTATGTATGTATTCATGTTATATAAGATTACAAATTTATACTGAATTTTCAATTGGAAATCACAAGTCATTTGTTATTATTGTGTAACTCTGTTCTCATAACTATAGTTATCTCTATCGACAGGTTTTATACAAACTTATTGAGCACTCAATTTATTATCAAAAAAATCTCTCATCTCTTTTTTTAGGCATTCATTTAAGCTTTTATATTAAGATTATTATAACATATAATTGTATTGATTTTTTTTGTTTAAAAAAATTCTTTTCATATTAATAATACAATAGTAATAAATTCACAAAAAAGTAAAAATCTAAGAAAGTTTGAAAACAAAACCGAAATAATAATATATAAGTTATATATTCCCAGAAGTGATGTTTGAATATTACATTTAATTACATTTAAGGAATTTGCAAAAAAAACGATTAATAATAATAAGAGACGATTTATGCGATTCATTGAAGATTACAATTATGTATAGTATTGTGTTCTCAATTGTTTTGTCGCTTTTTAGTACAACTCTTCTTTAACCCGACCGCCGTCGCCCTCTGAGACAAAACGTTTTCGTCCCCTAAAATTGTCATCAAAATAAAGACTATAGAAATTTGACAAATATTAACAAACATTCTATACCTCGACGGTAAGTTCTTGACGACATCGCTGGGAAGAAAGTCGCACTTTTGACACTTGATTGCAAACTTCTCAAGAATATTGTAGGCGTGCGGAACATCGATGCATATTTCAGACATTTCCTGATAGACCCGATAAAAGCCCTGCAAAACATACAATTAATGGATTGATATTTATAAGCTGATTAGTTGTGTAATACAAACATTTCTAAGCTGATCCAAAGTGATGATAACAGAAGAACAAAGAGACTTAAGAAGTTCACAAATGAGATCCATAGTTCGCTCTCCCATATCTTCAATGGTCAAAACGATTGCTTCGTAGACAAACTCGTGATAAAAGTGTGGAACTTCAAGTTCTTGGAGACAACGAGTGGCCTCTTCAATGTCTCCGGATGATAGATATTCCTTAAGAAGCGATTGAATTTGTTTGATGAGATACTTGACTGGCCTCATACCACCACTAACACCCCATACGTTGTCCAATCTGACCAAACCATGTTTCATACTAAGAAGAACATCTGCGTGTTCAATGGCCATACGTGCCTGTGTGCAGTCGCCAACACCTTTGTATCGCTGAACAAACTTTGGAGGAATGCAATCGTCTGCAACCGCACGTGCGATGAAATTACCCAAAACAATGGCTGCATTAGGTGTGTCCAAAACCAAATCAGGAAGACTACTAATCAATATATCAAAGCCACGTTCGATATTCTCCTCGTGAAGAACACGTCCGTAAAGATCAGAAATGAGGACTGAAGTCATTTCGCGATTAGAAGCTTTGCGTTCCATCGCCAGTGTAACGGCTATCACAAGAATTTGATGCAAATTGTCGCCCAAATTAATCTCTTCCAATGAAAGACCCACTTCTTCTGTGTCTCCATTTTCAAAGTATTCATTTAGTATTGGAGTCAAAGTCGTCTCAATTTCGTTCTCTTCGAGTGGAGGAGTAATGGCTTCAAATTTGCAGACATCCTATAGATATGTTAAATAAAATATTATCCATCAGATTATATGGATGACACACAATAGTATATAAATATCAATATTTAATGATATAATAAATATATATATATATATAAAGTGATTACAAATAATATTATTTAACATATATTACATAAAATAATGACTGTTCTTCAGTGTATAAAATCATAATATTAATGTATTAAATCTAAAATTTCTTTACTACTAAACTTTAAATTCTTTAAAATAATCTATTTTATTGAAACATTCAACTAATACAAAACAAATCTACAATTATTTTGTTATTTGTCGTAAATTTGTAAAAAAAAATTAAAATTAAATTCATACCTCACTTTCCGAGTCATAGTTAGGATCGTGTGGGTCCTCCAAACCCTCCTCGACTCCAACTAATTCACTTCCCGGTCGACCCCACGTTCCTTTACCACCGGCACCACCTAAACATTTTTAATAAATAAAAATATGGTATAATTAACATATATTTAAACCTCTTAGAGTTCTCATCGAAGTTAAAAAGTAAACAGTTTTTTAAAAAGTTGAAATTTATTATTTGAAAAACTAATAAAATATTCACAAATTCATATTATTTTTATTATGTTATGATTTGCATGAGAGAACAGAGTAGAGAAATGGGATGCGATTATAGTAGGAATATCTATAGTCGTAATGCTGGGCATCACTGATCACTTATGTAAAGAAATACAATAATGAAAAAATTTTAAAAGTGAAAACAACAATATAGTCGACACAAAACACAATAATAATTTGCTCCACTTTTTTGGTAACAGATCAAGGACTGGGGGCCGACAGGATTGACAACTATCTAAGCAATTGAACGGTTTGTTATTGGACTACAGTCACGTATACATACAAACATTGTATCGTCAATGAGAAAGTCATTTAATATATTTTAATATATAATATACATATAAATTATATTATATATCATTTGATATATTAATATAGCAGTCAATGTACTGTTGTTTTAAAATTGAAAGTTACGAAAGTATCATATTATATGTCCTTAAATTGTTTTGAATTTTGAAAAAAATAACTTTAGTGTTAAGTATAAACCAGAAACCTATTTACAAGATAACCGTTTTTCCCGTTAAATCTATTGTGGGTTCACTCACCCCAACCTTTTTCCTTATCAATCCATTCACAACTTCAACATTAATGCCATTATAATTATCGTTTATAAAATGCTATAATACAATAATACATATTAATATATACATATTGTATATAATAAACAATATTAATATATTCAGTATTAATACTTCAACTAAGGTCTGACTCATGATTTTCCGATCATATTTATACTTAATTTTTTATTGTTTCATAATTATTAACAAATACTATAACTTAAATTATATACCAATAAACAAAACAAAATAAATAGTACACTTTGCAATAGATATTTTATATATTAACATTTTTCACAACAAAATTAAGAAATTTCCTATCAATGCTTTAACTTTACCATATTATGTAACAAATTAAAAATTGCAATGAAAAATAATAAACCATAAATTAATTGTTATATTAAAAACAACTAAATTATAGTTATTGATTTATTTTACAATAATATTAACTCAATATTTTTGTAAACAAAATATTAAATAATATTACAAAACAAATGAAACGATAATTTTGTAATTTAAATGACAAAATTATCGTTTGATTTTTGTAATATTTTTATTTAATTTGCTCATATTTTCTATAAAAACTTAGCTAAAAATAAATTGCAATCAAAACTTTAAAAAAGAGTAAGATATGCAATTTGTACAGTTATTATAACAAATTTTAAATACAACATATTTTATATTTATTATATTTTTCTAAGTTATTTTTTAATATATTTTTCAATAAATAAAATATCGATATTTGTTAGAAAAAGAATTGTTTGCAATTAAGTTAAATAAATAAATAATAAATGCTTTATTTAATTAAATATAGAAATTAACTTTCTATCAAAACTTAATTAAATAAAAGATATATTTGTTATCTTACATTACTTTATAAGTAAAATTAATAGAAATATTACCAAATTTTAATGAATAATTAAATCATTCAATATTACAGAGTGTATTATATATTATCAAAACCAGTAATGGTTATCACTTTTGGTCAGTGAATCGATCCTAAAGGCGAGGGTTATATAGATATAATAGTCTATTATAATAAAGTCTTATATAAATATCAATATATAATAAAAACAAATAATTTATTTTTCTAATACAAAATTACATTCACAGCATAATAAACAAATTATGTAATTTTAGAAATATAAACAACTTTGATGCAACAATAAACTATAAATATTTTTGTGGATAAAATAATTAAAAACATATGTTACTAACATTATAAAGATATTTGATTAATTGAAATTAAATAAAAATTATCAACAAAACAAAATGTTGCCCTCTCAGTATTTATTACTAAATATTATCTAAATTTGTTATAATTACAAAATAATTACAAACAATATTAAAATTACAATTAATAAAGTGAAAATTATGAAATTACTTACACAAATAAATAATTCATATAGGAATTTACAATTTACATAAATAATATAATATTTATTATTTTACAAAATGTTATGCTAACTCATTTGATGCTAATTTTCAAAAACTCAATAATTTTCCGTGAATTGACTATTTATTTTAGATAATTGTAAAACTAATATTTTAAAAAATATATATAACATCTTTACCAGGAATATCTAAAAATATTTTTATTATAGTTTAAAACTATTTTGTTTATGCAAATACATTTAGATTATAAAATCAATTGTTTAAATGTTTTAATTATTCACAAAGAAATCGACATTATGCAATATTTCAAATATTATAAAACCAACAATAATAGTAATTATCATAAATACTATACTATTATAATAATCTCATTTGACTATTCAAAATAAGGGATGGTTTGTGTTAAATATTGTATTAATATAATTCATTAATATATTTTAAATTATAGTCAAATTATTAAAATAATAATATTAGATGGCTATTGAAAAACTTATTTCTCAATTGTGTTAAGACAATATTTGCGTGACAAATAATTTAATCAACAATAAAACATTTTATAACAAATTAACAAATATTTAAGTAATATTTTTTCAAATTTAAAGCAGAAATAACGTACAATAATTAATATACAGGAGAATTGCATAATTTATTGCATTTTAAAATAATTAAATTTAAATAAATTAAAAAGCAAAAAAATAATTAGATTTTTAATTTCATTATATATAAAATTATTATCTATTACACAAAGAATTATATAATTTTATGCAAATTTACATAAAATATACTATACTAAAGCTATTTCAAGCCATCCTATTACGTAATAACTAAAAATCAATTGCAGACATATATTGTGTGGAAAAATACCATTTATTGATTGACATTGGAATACAATGTTTAAACTAAAATATTGTGTATTCAAAGAAAATAGTGTACATCATATATGAGACTATATATATTATATATACTTTATATACATCAAAAAAATATTTTTTTTAAAAATAAATATTCAGTTTATAAAAAATATAAATATTCATTTAATATACTATACATTAACTAATATTTCTATGATAAGATAAAAGTAATTATTTCTTAAAATCTTTTTTTAAAACATCAAAAAATAAATCTAAATAACTATTTCCTTATTAATATAATTACATATTATTATTTATCAAATTGTAACCTAGGCATTTTATCATTATTTGTATTTTGAAAACAATTATCCCATTTTTAATATCAAAACAATAATAATCTTATTTTATAAATATTAATCAGTATATTAAATAAATAAAGTATAAATACATTATAGTTATTATCATATCTTGTTGTGAATATACAATAAGTATAAAACAATTATTAAAAATACAGCTATATTAAATGTTTATTTATTTCGTTATTTAATTTATTTGTTAGCAATTGATGTTTTGCCAAATTTAATCAATTATCGAAAAATATATCAATATTTATAATTTATAAAAACACATTTGTTTTAACCATAAATATCATATATTTAAATAAAAAGAATATATAACTTTTGTTTTAATTTATAACATATTAAATAAAAAATATGAAACTTAATGCAGATATATTCTTTATGCTTTATTTATCAATACAACATAACATTATAATTGTTTAGATTTATCTACAAATCTTTAACAAAACAACAAATAAAACTTATAATTGAATATTGATTTAAATTCTTAATATAAAAATATAATTTAGATATAAGTGTATGTGTTTGAGAAATGATATGCCAAGAGGTTTGTTATTTTGCAGTACTCTATAAATTTATTATCAAAATAATATAATATATAAAATATTATACAGTCTAACAACACAAACAACACTTAATGAATGAATTCCTATTTAATAACTTTGTTTTCACCTAAACTCAAGATAAGCCCATTTAATACATATCTTATTTCTTATTGAATAAAAATCAAGAAAACCGGTTACAAAATTTTGAGACTAGTTTTTCAACAAACGATGCACAAAAAAATGAATCAATTTAGCGGTCATTTAAAAACAACTTTTGCTTAATTTTAACAATATTTAATAAACTAATTTAAATTAATAATGAGGCTAAATATTAGACTACTATTTATAAATTGTGACAATATATAAAAACATGCGTTTCGTTAGAAATATTATCATTGAAAGCATTTACCAAATAATTATAAGTAGTGATCAATAAAATTAAGTTTTAATATTGTTAAATAAAGTAAAAACAGTTAAAAATTAATGTTAAGTTAATAATAAAATATATTAACTCATAAATTATAATAACATTAATTCATTTAACAGTACATTATTGAATGGGATATCATTGTTCATCACAGCTTACACATCGATTAAAAAAAATAATTAAAACAGTAATTAATGGCTTAAAATGTTTTTACTGAAAAAATGTTTGAAAACTTTCCAAAATAACATCATTGATATAGTTATTAATAGAAAAAAAACATTTATTATAAAAACATAACATATGAAAATAAATTCAATGACTTTTGTTGTTTATTCAAGTCCTATGATTTTTTTAAAATTTTGTTTATACCAATTGTTTATAAACTATTTTAAGCCTAATATTCTTACAATAAATTATTTGTAAAATAAAAATGACTAATTATTTATATACAAATTATAATACAGATGACGTGATGCATTGTATACTAAATAGATATCTATTTTTAATTAACAATTCTAGTGTTTATTTTTTTTAATTTATAGATATACTAATATATTATACGATTTGTTAATTACTTGATTATTATTACATAATACCTTACAATACAACACTAGTTTAGTCTATTTTGTATTCAACACTAATGTTTATGCAATAATATGAATAAAATTAATTTATAGCTTATATGACTATATATTATATAATAGTTAAATATTTTGTTTGTCGGTCTCGATATTAGATGTCTATAATATACAACTACAGTATAGTGTAATATAGTTAAAAGATGGTATGGTTTTAAATGGTTGAGTCGATTGAATCAATTCAACTAAAAACAAGTCAATTCATGTGAAGGTCACCTTTGTTTTGGTAAGCACTGGAACCCCTGATCCCCATCACAGACACTCCCTCTATAGCTTAACCACCAGTGCTGACAACACCAATAGAAAGCAATAGTTATTTACAACTGGATTCAAGGCCAACAACAAAATGCAAACACAAACACATATACCTTAACATAACATAACAGTGCCTATAATAAACATAGCATTTAATTTCTGAGCCCATAATATACAAAACTTGATAAACTTCCGCTCAATTGCTGTAAAAAGTGCTTATTTTTGTAGTAATTTTATATAAATAAAAATATAGAAATAAACATAAATTTAATTAATAATAGTTAATAATATGAGGCAAATGTGGGACATATAGTAGCATAGGGTTTGTCACGTAAAACAATACATATAACATAACATTTGTGTTCAAACAAATACAACCAATAGTTGATAACAATTTCATCTTTTTTGCGACTCTTAGAGCGCCAAAGTATGTATCGGATCTACCAGTGCTCAGGAATGGCTTACTAGTGATGCCGTCAGCCAATCACTGACTGCCAACTGACTACAAGAAGGGATAGCAATCGGTGGCAAAAAAGCAAAGCTTTAAGCTATGAGAGAAAAGCTTACCATTTAAATGACTATCGATAGACAACATACCAGTGTTATAGCAATAACTATAATATCTATGCGCTGTCTCAACATTTCGATAGTATTATATCGATAACACTTTTTTCTTTTTTTATATTATTTTTTCTATTTATTCACATTAAGCCGTTATTCACACATATTGTGCTTAATTGTGATCGCATTTCAAACTTTAAACATTAAAACAATGGCATAAATCGATACATTAGATTGTCATTACTTTTCATTTAAACTTTCAATTGATAACAAACATTGTCATCAGTTGTCAACCAATTATTCTTGTACTATAGCAATGGTCACTAATATTACTAATTAACTTATTGTCATCTAATAATTGATTGATTTTCATATAATAAATTTAAAATCAAAAGCAAACACAACTTATCATTGAATTAAGAGCTAAACAATGACTCAAATAAATACTTGAAATTATTTAAACAAATAGTGAATAATATTAAAGAGATAGTCAAAGATGTGTTCAAATAAAATCAATGACAATAACATACCCTTCTTTGCAAGTCCTCTGCCAAACCTTCCTCGAGATCGGCGACTATTTTTAAGCCACTTCTTGCCGAAACTGTTTCCATTAATCTTTGGTGAAACCTTATCCCCTGACTCTCCATTGGGGAGAACCTGAAGTCCATTAACTCCATTGACGGCAGCGGTAGTATTGATCACAAGTTTAGTCGATGGTCTCTTTGCTCGTCTTTTGATTCGGTCATCAATTGCCGTACCATTGGTAACACCATTGTGGCCATTGACGGGACTGTCGACATCAAACTCGTGGTCGTCATCCGAGTCATTAGCCAGCGATGGCACCAAATGGTTAAATCCGTTGATAACAACTTCTTTGTTTGCCATTTGTTACAAATCAATCTTTGGTCGCAATCTCTTTTGTCTTTGTTTGGATCACTTTGTCAGTTGTCTAACTATTAAACATATGCTAAATGTTTGTCAATGTAAGTCGTGGTCACTATTTGGTCATTAAAAGAGCTGACAATTTAATTAATTTAAGTGTTGGTATAATTTGTTTAACTAAATGGTTGGAAATGTTTTGCAGTTATTATGAGTTTTTAGAGAGAGTTTTGGTTTAAAAAAATTGTTTTCAATTCAAACATTCATTCAATGATTGAGTCAAACACTACTATAAGACAAACATTGTTCACAACAACTGTTAAGACCAGTCTATTCACACTTCAAGGGGTTTAATATCAATGGCTTACGAATTGTCTGGAAATTTCCATTACTTTTACATTACATCAACTAATATAACATTTTTTTCATTAAGACTAACCAACAATCAATGTAATGCTATCATTGATATTACAATTAATTTAATTCAATTAATTCCATGTATTAAATAAACTAAATTATAATTTATATAAAACTTTATGCAATACATAAGCAAAACAACAGTTAACTCATGTATTGGTCCCTAAACTATGTTTAGCCAATAGACATGTTATTTATAACAGAGTGTATATGTAATGCAAACCAACAGTATATTTATGTATAAGTTGTTAACTATTAAACATAAACTCTAAATATTATTAATTGATATACAGTTTAGTTGACTTTTTACATATTAATCATTATTAATGTAACATATATTAGTTGTACATACAGTTGACAGTGTGACCTGAGGTCAACTAGTTGTCTAACTGAGCGGTAAACAAGTCAATTAAAAGACAATTGTTTAGAGCGCCTCCCAGTGCTAGTCATGCAGTTATGTATTAGTTTTCTATGTATTACTTATATGTTTGGCTATACTTAGGGGCGCTATTTGTCTGACTTATGTAGTTATATAGGAATTACTATTAAACATAACATCAATTGAGACAAACTATAGGGACTTTAAATACATTGAATATCCAATGTATTACACATTGAAGACATTGTTATAATATATTTGACATAACTATCAAATATTTAGCAAATTATTAATCAAATAAATTGTAATTATAGTTAAATTAAATTAATTTCAATACAATATAAACACTAATTAATTAATAAAAAGATGACAACTAATAGTACTTCACTTATTGATGACTTTGAAAACTCATTTCAAGTAATATTGTTTTCATTTAACTTATAATATATTTTTATTTGATATAAATTAATAATTATTTATCAATTGGTCACACAATTAGTCTTGTCTATCATTATTGACGAATCCATCGACGACTCACATCCATGACTCGGATGAGGTCAAGACAAGTGTCGATCAAAATATTCAACGATTTCTAGACATTGGTCGACAAATCGAGGCTTTCTTTCTTCAGAAACGACTATTAATTTCTGTTCAAAAACCGGAACAAATTTTAGCCGAAGACATAATGGAATTGAAGAATGAAATCGCACGGAAGGATCAGGTTTTGACCAAATATTACGATAAGTTACAGTACTGGCAACAGTTGATGAATGAGACAGTCGCTAATGGAGATGGTAGTCATCATTTACAAAGACCAACTTCATTGACTGGCCAACCAGTTGCTGCACAACCACCACAACAATTACCATTACAAATGGCATCACCTCATCCACAAATAAATTCTCAGATGAATCCACAACTGAGACACAGTGTGCAGAGTCCTATCTCAGCTATCAATGGTCCGCCAACAATGATGAGACCATCAATGGGACCACAAATGACAGTTGCATCTGCAGGTCCTATGACACCGCCTCAAATGATACCTTCAGGTCCTATGCAGGGACAGACAGGTATGATGACTACTGGTCAACCTACTAATATGGGACCTATGATGACACAAATGGGAGCACAACAGGGAATGCAACAAATAGGTGGACAATCACCTATGCCGACTCAACAAATGCCACAGTTTATGCCACAACCACCTCAACCTGGACTTCAGGGACCATTAGCTTTCTTGGAGAGGACAACGTCTAACATTGGTTTATCAGATGCGAGACGTTAATCGACTATTAACATCAATTATCAACAATTAATGATTACATATAAATTATATTCAATGAATAAAAATTCAATTTTATTAAAATCATTTTTCATTTAAAGGAAATATAGAAATATTTCATTATATGATACTAATTAAAATAATTAGTTCAACTCATTGTTGAAGAATGCTTTTGCAAAATAAACCAAAGTTCTCATCGGACGTCCAGACATACCTTTACCCAAATAAGAGACATCATCTTTGTTATCCATAACACCAGCGATGTCTAAATGCATCCAATTTGGATTAGTGACAAACTCTTTGAGAAATGCGGCGGCAACACATGCACCACCCTGACCGGCACCACCTATATTGTTGAGGTCAGCTGTGGCACTATCGGTGATCTGTTTAGTAAAGTGTGACAATATAGGCATTCGCCAAACTCGATCACCAGTCTGTACGCCACACTTTTGCAAAAGATTATAGTGTTTAGTAGATGTGGAGAATACTCCGACCATTGCTGCTCCCAATGCCACTTTCATAGCACCAGTAAGAGTGGCAATATCTAGAATCAATTGCGGCTCAAAATTGTGTGCATAACACAGAGCATCGGCCAACACAAGCCGTCCCTCAGCATCTGTATTGTCAATTTGAATGCTTTTTCCATTCATAGCAAATACAACATCTCCCGGTTTAGTTGCCTTACCGCTCGGCATATTCTCAGTCAATGGAGTCAAACCTATTGTATTATTATTTTAAAATAATTACTGGTAATATATTAGATACTTACCAATTATATTGACTGATGCTTTAAGAGAAGCCAATGTATAGATAGTACCAAAAACATTAGCAGCACCTCCCATATCGGCCCTCATTTTGTCCATATTGAGAGATGGCTTCAATGAGATGCCACCGCTGTCGAAGGTGATACCTTTACCCACAAATACTATTGGTTTAGTATTGGGAGCATTATTGTAATGCATCTAAAATACAGATTTTATTAAATTTGCAGAAAATGTTATAAATATCAAAAAGCATAGCTGCAAATACCTCGAGAAATATCGGTGGTTGATCTGATCCATTGGCCACACTTAGAAATGATCCCATTTTCTGGCTTTCAGCCCACGCCCTATCTCTGATATGAACCTTAACTCCCCTAAAGTTAAACATTTTGGTAAGTATTAAAACTGAAATTTAATTGCCGGTAACATAGATAAAGAAATTATAATAATTTACTTAATTATTACTTAATATTACAATTTGCTTAATTCTTCGACAGCTATATTCCCGAATCGGGTCGGAGTCATGAGATTCGCTGGCGTTTCCATTAGTCTACGTGTAATGTTCTGTCCTTTGGCCAGAGTTAGGCCGTAATTCCATTTAAGTTCCGCTTCGGGGTCTTTGGAAACGTTTAAATGATTTAAGTTAACGTTAGACTTCTTTAATGATTCCCCTTTAAGTTCATCATAATTATAAAGAATCAGATGACTGCCCTCAGCGGCCGCTACACCGTCACCACAATCATCGACATCGATTTGGTCAATAGATCCCAAGTCTCGCAAAGTACGAGTGCCAACAGAGATGGCTGACCGGATATTCTCGCGGTCTTCATCTATCTCTTCAGAATCATTATAACCGGCATTGTTTGGTCCCAAACCAACCACAGCCACCACTGGATGTGTTGGACTTAACCCGTAAAAGACTCGACACTTGTTTTTCTTCAGAGGACCAATACTTGATATAAAGTAAAAACAATTAAAGTGATTGCAATTTATGACAAAAAGATCTTTATGTGACATGACTTACACATTGATGGCATCACTGAGTTTGCCATCGACTGTCTCATCAAATTTGGTGGCGTTTTCTGTTAACAAATATTTTTCTTTGTCCTCATTCTTCTCAAAACATCCCAAAAGAATAGCTCTTTTCTGAAAAATGACAACAAATTTAATTGTTTTAAATGATTTCAAGTAAAACAACAAAACAGACCCCCATTTGTGCTGATATTTTCACAGATGTGGTCGTCGTTGTTGTAGTCAATGAATTAAATAAAAATAATTTAGTTATGATTTGACTCCTGTTTACTGACAAATCACTTGATTTGAATAAAACTAATGATTTAATACAACGAAAACAAAATGTCATTTAATATATCAATTTAATATCAATTTCAATGATTTGCAATTTAATAGACAATATTTGTGATTAAATAATGAAAAACAATGAGACAACTGTTTAAATATTTTAAAATAATATTACATTCAATTGAATGTATGATATGATCAGTGATATCATGTAATTATTTAACTTTAAAAACCTGGTTATCATATGATATCTAACACTGTATTTGAATGAATAAAAGGTTTATTACTTTACTTGAGAGCAGTGCTGTATTAATACAGTACAGTACAGCTCTGTTTCAGTTTGAAATACATTTAAATACTGTATTATTACTTAAGTTGTAATAAACATATTATATATTTGATATTATTTTTTACTTAAATATGCAAAATAATTATTCAACTAATTTTCATTAAACTTTGTTTGTTAGTGAAATCTATATATAGTATTATCAATTGGTTTATTTATAATACAACACTTAAGTGTTATAATTATTATAACTTATGGCCAATAGTGTCGAAAAGTTTGTCGATTAGACAACAGAAATATAGACTAAATACATGTATATAAATAAAATTTTTATATTATAATAAATAATCATAAATTATATTCCTGTAGAAAACTGCATCAAATTTTCAGGTTATGTTTGGTAGACATTATAAAGTTTTCGTTTATATCGACCATTTGTATCCATTTCCTAAAGAGATGTCAATTTCAAAGATTATTATATATTTTTCTGAACCAAAAACATACAAAAAAGACAGACATTGTATAAGTACTCCGTTTAATATTTTGTCTAAATTTTTAATCTAAATAATAAGGTTTTTGATTATTAATAATTATGAAGAAATCTATTTATAATATTTATATTAATATTTTATAAAAATAAGTTTAAGTAAAATATGATTAAAATGAATAAAACATGTAAATATTTTTTATTTTTAAAAATATCAATAAAATATAAATTTGATTATCCTTTTTAAATTAACAAAAAAATCTAAAATTTTATTTTTAATAAAAATAAAATATATTATATTATCATCATTTTATGTTTCAATAAAATTAAATAAAAGTAATCTAAATAATTAAATAAAATTTAAATACAAATGTAAATTATAATACAGTATTGTATAATACATTAAATTATTTATATATATATATATATTTATAAAAATTACTAATCTTTAAATTAAATTTTAAGACAATACTGTTTATGATAAATAATAAAATAATTTGTATGAAAATTATAGATAATTGTATAAAAGATTTAAAACAATATTAAATATTTGAATAAATATTTTTCTTTAAAGCAATAAATCAGTTGTCTATACAATAGAGGCATTCAATGACGTAATGTTTACAATCAGTCAATGTTTTTGTTGTATTGAAGTGGCGTTTGTTTGGTTGTCTGCACTGACATCACAATAATCACCACAAAAATTACTGCACTTTAATATTAATACATCATTTACCCGACAGTTGGTCACCGATGGCATCAATCGAGAAATTAGTGAAGGCTTTCGAGGCCCTCAAAGTGATCCAAACGGTGGCCGACAAACCCGAAGAGGCACTCGTGTCCACCCGATTCATGTATGTCTCAATTTATTTGATCCATTGATTTTCATTAATTAAAAYCATTATTTTTTTTATCAATTGACAGCAAAAGGGAGACATCTTTGACCAAAAAAGACAAAGCATTTCATTGCAATACAATCGCTGATATTATCTGTTGTCCATCACTGAGGTTTGTTTATCGAAGACTTAAAATTGATATTTGTTTTACAAATGACATGAATTGAAAACAATTGCTTTTATTTATAGAAATATTGAAGATTTCCATAAATTTCTTGGTATAGCTATCGAAACATTTCTGGTCTGTTGTGATGATCCCGATTCAGACGTCCGCATGACTTCTAACGAATGTCTGAACCGTACGATTAAGAATTTAATGGACTCACAGTTAGGCCGAATTCAGGTGGAGTTATACAAAGAAATCAAGAAAAATGGATCCACTCGTAGTCTAAGAGTTGCATTAAGTCGTTTCGCCGATTTGTCTCATTTGACGCGATCAGCAAAGTGTCGACCGTATGTACAAAATCTGTTCCCGTCTTTGATTAAGATCAGCGAACGAACCGATGAGGATCTCATCCAAGACACACTGCAAATGGCAATCATTAAGATTATGCCAACTCTGGCACCGTTTGCCACCGACAATGAAATAATTTGTTTGTTGAACGCCTTTCTTCCAAATCTACAATATGTCACACCATCTGTGAGACGTACAGCTGCTTCTTCGTTGGTCGTTATCTGTCAATACTCACGAAAACCGCAGATATTTTTTTCTTGGCTTTTGACACATTTATTGAAGTCATTAAATCAGATGAATGTTATATCCGAGACCACTGATGACAGTTCTATGGATACGCAAACCAATGAACGACTATTAGTTGGAATATTTGTTTGTCTCAAATATATGATTCCGCATTTATATGATATGCCATCACATGTAGAGTATGAAAGTCTAAAGACATTTGGTGTCAGTCAAAAACAACGGGAACTAATGGCTAAAGACTATGACACCATCACTGAGAACTTGTTGCAAATGTTTGAGCTGATCTTACATAATATCAGATATAACAATAATAATAGTGTAATTGTGTCGGCTCTGGAAGCACTTCTTCAACTTATGAAAACTCCACCAAAAATGATTCTTCCTTATCTTTATGATTCAAAAGGCATTGATAAGTCACGGATCGGCTCTTATATTCATTCATCTCCGGCATCGCCTATGTTATCATTGCATAGATTTAAAAGTCGTTTACAAAGTCATAATTCTCTGAGCTGTTCATCGATTAATGTCAACTCTTTAGATGACGACGAGATGATTAACATTTGTGGCATTACCTCTCTCGACGACAAATTGGTTCAGAGTTTAGAGAATATTCCACAAAATGCTGTCACTTCACAACAACAACAAATAACTCGATCTATGGATAATTTAAGTATTAGTGATACTATTGGATTAACTGAAAGTGACAATAATGAGCCAAATTTAAATGTGGTAAATGAGACAAATGTTGGAGTGGATTATGATTTAAATACATTGAAACAAAATAGACATTCATCGATGAGCTTTCAAATGACAAAATTGACTTATTTTGATAGCGAAGATATTAATGATGTTCCCATTTCTCCTTCCAATACTGACGGATCATTTGATGCCATCGATGACCGTTTAAATGTAAGATTTCTAGTATATATAGGATAACAATTCTGGTATAAAATTAAATTTATAATTTTTTATCCTTTTTTAATTAATATTGTAAAAGTATGGTGATATTGGAGATTTTACCAGTGAAAACATAAATTGTTTAGAGTATAGCATTAGACTTATTTGTAGTCAATTTTTATTGACCGGAACTACTGGTCGATTAGTGTCCGATAAAAAAGTAAGAGTTAGTGTCAAGTCATTGGCTTTGGCCAATGTTTCAGCCATTGTTAGACTTCAACCAAAGATATTACTGATTGAGATGTTTATTGAAAGAGTGGAATCACCAAATAAAATAGGTATTGTTAACTAATGTATAGAATAATCGGTAATTAACAGTAATATTACGGTTATAATAATTTTAGCGGATTCATCACAAAAAATTTGGGATATTTTTCAATACTCTACACATACTGATCCACAAATAAGAGGACAAATTGCTATAATTATTGGACATTTTATTAACGGAGTATTAAACGAATCAAACAGTTTTAATGATTACTTACTTCAAAACTGTACGGTGTCTTCATTTTCTGGTATTTTACTATTATTTTATTTTTTATTTTAATCGCTTATTAATTAATATAGTATTATATCATATAATTTTTATACAGAATTTCCAACTTTAGAGGATTTACTTTCAAAATTATCATCTCTAATATTAGATGATAATGACTCGTCTATTGCTGTTAAACATGGCTTAACGGGTCTTAAGAATTGTATAAATAATTGTTTGGAATCTAACGATAATATTAATTTATGTGCCTATTTATTATTGGACCAATTGATCCCTGTTAAAGACAATCCCTATTGGCTGATAAAAGTATAATTTAAATTGTTATCCGATTATAAATCAATTACTGTTAGACTATTAATAAAACTATTAATAAATTTTTAGGCAGAATTGGTAGACTTGTTTGCTCACATTGACTACAAAATAATACATTTCATAGAATTATCAAAATCTCAATTCAAGAACGGAATTGTTGTTAAACGGAAAAGTCTTCAAAATAGGATATTAAATGATGTGATACTCAGTTTGTTAGCCGATGAAGACTTTCGTGTAAGAGAGGCGTCTGCTAATGCCCTTTGCAAGTATGAAACCATTTTAATATTATTTTTATTATTATTTACTAATTGTTATGTTATATTATATTTTACTAATGTTTACTAATATCTCTAATTACAAATTGATTATAGTTTAATACCAGTGCTTTTTGCTCCATGTGTTTACTCTGATAACGATCCGATTACAGCAATAGCATTGGAACACACAAACAAAAACTTATCTCAAAATGAAAATCTATTTAAAGATTACGACTCAATGGTTCCGCCAATTAAGGCATTTATTGATCCTTTAAACACTGAATATTTGAAAATTTATCCAAACAATCGACTAATTGAATCTAATCTTTTAGATGTTGTTAAAAAATTATTGAACAAATTGTTATTTAATTTAGATGAAAGATATGCATTGATAGGATGTTGTAATGCTTTAACTTTACTCTCTGATAAATATCCGGTTACCGATTATCCCGAGTGTTGGGGAACTGACTTAACTGAATCATCAGTCGGAATACAATTATTAGATATTTGCATAACTTTATTGTTGACAAATCCATTGATTATGTTAGACTTGAACGCTCATCAAAGTATCATATCATTTACCGGTAATATTATTGAAGGTTTGGCATACAATGCTATCAAATCAAATATCAAAGTTAACAACAGTTCCACATGTGAACTGGATTGGGGTCTTATAAGTCATGTGTCACCACATTTGGCTCAACAGTCGGAAACATTTTTTGTTCATTTATTAAGAATTTTAAATATCTATTCCCTTGTTATTGATGAACCCATTACCACAACTAATATAATGAGTTCATTAACTAATTATAACAAAGTACCAGTCATTCAGAGCCTCTCGAATTCACCATTGAGTCCAATGAGGAAAAAATCTTCGATAAAGTCATCGGATTTAAGCGACAAAATTGATTTAATGAAGAAAAGTGATTCAGAAAAGTCAGATAAAGATAGGTTACTAAAGTTTGGCTCAAATCCACTCTATAGTCGTTTTAATGATTTAATTAGAGCTTCTTATATGAGTAACAAAACATCAATGGACTTAAGCAGTGATAAAATGTCAGGACTTCTTAATATTGTTCTCAATGTTTTGGGTCGTCTCTTGGAAATGACAACAATTAAGTTTATCAGCAAATATGTTGAAGAAGTTCTTCATTATCTTAAGATTGTATTCACACTCGAACACAGTCTTACAGTCAAAACAGTGCGACAACTGTTAAAGTGTATATTTGGCACTAATTTTGTTATAATGTTTACTAACACTAATGCCGATAATAGTCATGTGATAAATAAATGTGATAAAGAAGTGCCAAACGATGACAACTCTACTCCACAAAGAATGCCATTCAGTAACGGAATTCCAAACTATTCTGAAGTCGACGGACTTTACAACACATGTCTGTCCTCTCCATACACTAAATTCACTAAATTTTATGCCACGATGTCAGCCAAAGTATTGTCGAATTTTGGTTCATCAGATGAAACAGACTTTTCATTTGGTTGTTGGCTAAGAAAGAAAGTGGAAAAAAGAGTTAGTCTTATATTAGATAAGAATATATCAAATTCTGGTCTCAACTCAAAGACATCACTTACATCACATATAAGACTTTTTGAACCGGTTGTCATCAAAGCACTAAAACAATACACAATTACCAGTGATATTGAGCTTCAATGCGAAGTTCTGGATCTATTGTCACAATTAGTTCAATTGAGAGTCAATTATTGTCTTCTCGATTCTGAACAGATATTTATTGGTTTTGTGTTAAAACAGTTTGAGTTTATAGAAAGCGTTCATTTGGATCAATACGACAAACTTATTGGTCATATATTTTACTTTTTAATTCTTCTTTCATATGAAAAATATCATTCAAAGCCTATAATAGGTATTCCAAAGATAATACAACTTTGTGACGGAATTCTTGCGAGTGGACAATATCCGCAAAAGTTTGCATTGCCATCGCTAGAGCCCATTGTCGTGGATCTAATACTTTTACGAAATGCTAGCAAAGTCGAGTCAGCTAAAGAACTTGAAGCTCAACGTGAAGTAATTGTTGCTAATTGTCTTAAATTAGTACAATTTTCAGATATTCTACAGATTCTTATAATAATAATAAAACAGAGCAAAAAAGATGGCGAAGAAAAATGGAAGAAAATTTCCCGACAAATAATTGACACTTTACTGCCACAACTGGTCAAACAATCCATTCATATTGATTCATATAAATCATTAGATTTGTTGCACAAATTATTTGAATGCGTTTCTCCTAATGTTTTCAGACCTCTTGATATACTTTTAAAAGCATTGTTTGCTGCACCACAACCTGATATTATAGATAATTACTATTACTTTCATCGATGGACTTCATTAATATTAGTGATATTACGCTTAATTATAGTACAAGCAAAAGAAGATGTGGTATTAGCCCGACTCGAAGATATGAAAAGCTCTATTGTTTCGATCGGACCGTTTGGCTTACCTGTGATCCCCACATCATCTTTGGCTAATTCCATACCGTTCCACATGTCATCAGTTAATATCAATCGTAGTGATACCCAAACATTAGAAGCCGAAGACATGTTTGCCGAATATTTACTTGAAATCATTGAGTTGTGCAGTCATGAGATCACAATCCGTATGAATACTATATATAGTGATATACAAAGACATTGTGACTTTTTGATCCAACAAATGGCTAACTATATGTTAATATTGACGCATATGTTTCAATCGGGTTCATTCAGACGTGTAGCCAAAGCTGCCATGAATTTGATCAAAAAGTGTCAGTTTAGTGATTGTGTTGATACAGACGATACAAATAGTTATTTGAATGGTTTTTCACTTTACAAAACAAATTCATCGTTTTTAACATTAATGTCTTCTCATCCAACACTTTCTCTACAATGGTTTAACCTATTAATGCTTCTTAATTATGAAGATAATAATGAAGACGGACTGTGGAATCAATTGATTCGACCCAATCATAACAGTCTTAATATTTCAAACTCTAAACTACAAGCTATTGGTAAACGTAGAGGAAGTGTCAATAAAATGAAAAATATGTTTGTCTTTTCCCCGAGTGTTGAAATAATACGAAGAGGTTCTTTGATTCTGTTTTGTGACTTTGTCTGTGAAAATATGAACGATGCGGAGCATATGACATGGCTTATCGTACAGAATATCAATGAGATAATCAAGTTGTGCCACGAATTACCAGTCAGTGAATTCATTTGTGCCATTCATCGCAACTCAGCCTCGAGTGGTCTCTTTATTCAAGCCATTAATGCCAGATGTGACGAAAACCTCAGAATTGGTAGTTTTTGTAGACGACTATTGCATTGTTTAGGTAGAGTTCATCCGACACAGTCTTTATCATTAATAACATATCTCATCGAGAAATTAATCTCAAATCCCGGTCTTAATTTTAATTGTCTGCTTATGAGTGAAGCCGAAACACTTGTCATCAAACGATTGAAATCAATGTCTTCATCACTGGAATCATATTCTAATCAAAGTAGTAATCAATTGACAGCTCAAGATTTGGATAAATTAGTTCATTCACTTAATACCAAACAACATTCACAACTGATTTCAATATTGAATTCATTCAGAAAAGACATCAGCGATACTAATTCGGTGCAAACAACACATCCATTGTTTGATAATATGAATGCTTCAGAAATACCCGAAATCAATAAGGAATGGTTTCTAACTGTTTTAATGAGATATTGTCAAAGATATAGCAAAGGTCACAAAACAGCACATCTTATAAATAAACTTTCGTACGACGATATCGTCTCAATCATGTCATCAAAAGATTTTGCATTAGAAATATTAGGAGAATGTATTGAATTTGGCGACCAATTCATCGAAGAGGATGACAAGTCTAACACTAAGATTATGTTCTCTGCGGTTATGAATCGTATCAATCTTTTAAAGGCATCCCTAAACTCAGTGTTACAACACAGCAGTTATTTCATTAATATACTACCGGCCCCTCACTATCCATTTCTACCTCATTTAGAGATGAGTACACCGAAAGAGGCCCGACATCGGGATAAACTCATTGAGTTTTTTGGTCAGTCAGATATTTGGAGTTATTTGTTTAGATTGTCCAATGGGTTCTTAGCATTTATGGATCACCATTCGGAGCGCAGTATTGCCACAGATTTGTTGGCAAATATCGCACGGATTACCACTCTTTATGCAGAAGCGCTTCAATATATGACAGAAGCTATCGAATGCGTTTCATTTACTTACATAATCGTTGTTTTGAAAATCATGAAATCAGCTCTTAATTGTAATTCAATATTCACTTATTTATCGACATCTAAAACTGTTAGCTACCAGTGCTCTATTATCTCAGCGTTACACTCATTTACTCAACATTGTAAGTACTATAAAAATTGTATATATACTCTGCAGATATATAATAATAATAAATTTTATATAATAGTTTTCGGTGAACTACCAAAACTAGAGGGACCGAAAAGTTTTGGTAAATCTGAAAAAGAAAATCCCGAATGGAAACATCCGCACAGGACATGCATACGAATGGCTCAATTAGTTTGCTGTTTAGAGACACACCAATACAAGTCGACATCTGTTCCACAATCAATATGCTCTCTATTAAGAAAAGTCATTTTTTTGACAGCACGACTACCTCTTGTAAATGGCTTTGTTATGGTTCCCATTGCTGTTTGGAATTTTGATGGTGAAAGTACATGGAATCCCAATTTTAGTGGTGATTTCGGAACAATTATTCCAACGATTCCATCTGAATATTTGAATTTCAGAGATGTTTTGGATCAGTTCTGTTTCCGAGTTATGAATTTAGGTTTGACGAGTCGGATCCAGTTTGAAGAGATATGGATGACATTGTTGGGCGTTTTGAACACAAACAGCCAACTCGATGATCATAGTGAAGACCAATCAGAACGAACTAATATATGTCTATATGTAACCAAAGCTATAACTCAATTACTATTATTGTCCACTTTGTCGCCACAACCGGGAAATCCTATCAAAAGTAAATTTATTAAACAAAAGAATGAAAAGATGTCGACATTCTTGCATTCAACTCATGGATCTAAACTACAAGCTGTTCGCGAATCACTTCTCTCTGCTATTAATTCTTTGCTTACAAACAATGACGAAAATCAATATAATTTTTATGGTTTCGGACAAATATCTGTTCAGCTTTTAAGACATTCAATCAAAACGACGACATTCAATGAACTATCGCCATCACTATCTTCAACATCTTCATCATCAGATTACAGTCCATTAAGTCCTATAAATACTTCAAATTTAAGCAAAAATATTGTAACAAATCAAGAAAAACTTGAAATTGATTTAAATTCTTGTTTACACTTTTTACTCGACCTTTTTGGTCAGTTATTGACAGCACAACAGCCAATGCAGTTACCATTGCTAACAGAAATCTGTAGATCAACTATCCTTTTATCAGATCTATTCACTGAAAGAATGCAATTTGAATGGCTTTTATCTACATTTTTGGAACTCCATAGAATGGCACAGATATCTGAAGATGAAATAATGTGTCAATATTTAATTGTAGGCATTTGTAAGGCTAGTGCTGTTTTAGGTGTCGACACAGAAGCTATTATTGATAAATGCAAGAAATCTATTGAAATCAGTTTAAAGAGTCATTATTTGCCCACAAGAATAGCTACAATTCATGGACTCAAATATTTACTAGAATTTCAAGGCATCGGATCCAATAACAAAGAGACTCAATATCTATCAATTGCTTCGGATTATATTCTTAAACATCTATCGGATAATACTTTGTAATTACATTTTAAACATGTTTTATATATTATCGATAAAAATTTGTTAAATGTTTGGCATTGATTGTTGCGATTTCATTATCAAACTATTAAAGTTATCGTTATTTCTATGTATTTAGGTTTTAAGTACTTTAGGGGTTTGGGTTAGGAGTTTGGTTGAGTTAATTAGATAGTTAGGTTGTTTTGTTGATTGAATTTCTAATAATTTTAGCAATAATTTAATGATTTGTTTGCAATAAATTTATTTTATCTGAGCATAAAATCACAACAATCAATTGATATGTATTTAACAAATGGGTTCTGTATTATCTAATTAAACTGACATCCCTTAGGCCCAGTAGTTTTAATGCAGAACATGTGGAAAATATGTGGAAATTATCGTTTCATTTGATTGAGTATTTTGTTGAAGATTTTGCTGAAAATGAATTCGCACAAAAAATATTTCAAGTATTATTACTATTTATTATTTCTTTTTTATATTTTGTATAGTATTTTAAAAGTTTCTTAAACCTGTTTAAAGCTTTCACTGAAAGTAATAACAGATAAAACCTCAAAAGTGTATCCGATTGTTGTCAATGGATTGGATAATCTTATACTTAATGAGAAATTTTCAATCAAAGAGTCCAATTTGATTATTAAGTCGTCTCTGGAAAGATTCAAAACATCCAGCACTCAATTGGACGCACTGTTAGCCTTACAGCTGACAATGTCAGCCACATATTTCGGTAATAAAATTTAAAATATATTTTATTATAATTAACTTGAAATGTATTGTATATCTCAAAGTGGGTTCAGTTGGCTTGGATTTGGACAAAACAATGGATGATAGCGAGGAGTTCCTGTTGGCAATGGAAAAGTTGTCCGTCATTTTTGAACGACTGAAGACATGTCACGCATACGAAGCACAGCAGATATGCAATGTTTTGCCGCACTTCTTGTGCGAATTTTTTCCCACTCAAGACATACTAAACAAATGTATCGGTGAATTCCTCTCCGGTCAACAAACACATGCAAAACATTTAGCTAACATTCTTTTTGTTGTAATTATCAATCATTAATATTGAAGACATTTTTCAATTATTGCCATTTATTAACTTATGTTTTTTGTTAGGTATTTAACAAATTACAAAACGATTCCCATCTGAACATTGTTCACGATTGGGTCATCCTTTCATTGTCCAGTTTTACACAACTTAGTCCTCTAAACTCTGCCATCTGGTCACTCAACAGTTTCCTTATTTGTGCGTCAGTTAATCCATGGATACGTTGCGCGTAAGTTATGCATACATTGATGTTATTACAAATGACATTATAACCAATAAATTGTTTATTTGCTTATAATTTATAGATTTGCTTACATTCAAACTCGTTATGGACTTCTTGAAGATATTGACAGACAATTGTTTTTCTTAGTCTGCTATAACTTTTACAATGAAGTAATTTATATATTGTTAATACAACTCTATTGTATTGTTATCTAATTTAATAATTTTTTTTATAAAAACTATTTTTGTTGATTTGTAGCTAAAAACAGAGCAAAATAGAGAAGCTTTTCGTAAAACGTTTCAAAGTGTTGCTGAACTTCCCGACTCTCCCTACTCTCAAGTCTTAAGATACTTACAAATCTCCAGAAATTAAACCTTAATGTCTTATATTATTACTTGTTATTACATTAAGACATTAGTTGGTCACACATTATGTACATAAGTTAATATTAATCAAATATTTTAAAAGTATTAAAATATAATTTGTTGAATTGTTGTCAACACTGACAGACAATAATTGATTGAAAATAATAATTTAAGAATCAATTGTACTCTAACTGTGAATACATAAAATCTCATATTTACCGGTAATAATTGAAAACACATAATTAGATACACAAATATATAGAAAATTTTAATTTTATACTTTAATAAAAGAATAATAAGAATAATTTATAAAAGAAAACTGAGGTATAGTAAAAAATAATTGATTTATTTATTTCATTTATTATTTAAGTTTATGATTATTTAGATTTAGGTAATTATTACCGTAATGTTTTAGTTATTTGAAAAAATATTTAAATATACACTACACTACACTACATACATACATACCCTATATATACTACCGATAGTAATACTGTATAATAAATTGCATATGAAATGTGATAAACAATAAGTTCATTCCATTTAAATATTTATTTTTCATTTATAATAATTTATAAATTATGGTAATGTTTTGTTTTATTGTTGAATAAATAATTTTTTAATAAAATATTGTAACTGTTGATTGACACGTGAGTTGAATATTGTGTTATATAACATAATTTATACAGTATATAAAAATACTTTAGTTACTAATGCTATTAAATAAGTTATATAACAAAATATATAATTGTAAAATAAATATTTTGCTATATTTATAGAGAAAATAACTGTTTTTGCAAATACCTGTATTAATAAAATGCTAAACAATTGAAATTATAATAAAATATATAATAAAGTTCTCAAGTTTTTCTTATTTTATTATAAATATAACATCAGAACAGAATCAGTGCATCAATTGATGACATGACTATTACATTGACAATCAGTCACTAAATTAATTGACAATTTAATGGTTAATGTTTTACAGATAAACATTTGTCTATTGCCTAACAACACATACGTTATATGACATAAATAATTAATAATTACTGTATGTTTAATACTGTATGTTGTATGACAAGCATTTACTAAAATATTGTTTTATCTATTAATAATAACCGGATATTTTTGTACACTTTTTTTTATAAATTATTTAATGTTATCTGCATTAGTCTAAAGTCACTTAAATTAAATGGCAATCCTTTTAATTAGTTATTCCTTTAATTTGGTCGTTATTTTAATAAGTTTTTAATTACATAATTATCAAATGTTAGGACACAATTGATTGTGTATTACAGTATAATACAGTATCATTTGTATCATTTGTATCATTTGTATCATTTGTATCATAGTATTGATTTGTATACTACTGTACTCTACTGTACTAACATTTGTATATAAAGTTATGCTGTAATTCACATTAGTATTTGAAATAAATAAAATTATTGTAAATTATAGTTGAATTTAGTTAAGAGTATAAATTTAGTGAATATATGTTAAATTAAATCAAATATAATGCATGAATTGTATTATATTATACAGTATTATGATATTAATAGTAAATAAGTGTTTAAACCGATTAACATTAAGTCATGTGTTGCACATATCATATACAGTATTACTGCACAAGTAGTACACAAGTGGCCAAAGTTAGCCCTGGCTTTGGATCATCTATTGGGTCATACATTGAGTGCCGGTTTGCAAAGTAAGACCAATGGCTGGGCATTCATATAGTGATTGAGTGAGTGAGAGGGTGTGTGAGTGAGTGCTATATGTGTTGTACTGTTTGACTGTATGTGCAGTGAGTGTGTGTTGGATGTAGTGTTGCATTGAATCCATTGATGCCATCAGTTGTGATGGTTTTGTTGTCATCACAAGCATTGCGTTCAACAACTGGACAATCAATTTAGTCAAACAATTTAGTGCATCGATGAGCGAACCGACAGACCAGAGGACAGTTAGATAAAGATTGGTTGCACTCGTAATCACTGATTAAATGTGATATCAAATTGAATGCCAGTGTTGTTGTTGTCGTCGTTGTTGTTGTTGTTATAGTCGACACTGTTTTGGGTTTTTATACAACACTTAATGAAAGAAAATAATGAAATTGATTGACACGAGTGGTGATGTTGTGATGGATGGCACACAAGATATTTATATTAATTTTATGGTATAGTAGTGCCAGTGATTGGCCATCGGGTGTGCCATAAGTGGGCAAATGGTTTGGGAAGTGTCTTATGAATGGAATTAATGGAATTGGAAAATATCGTCGCAAACACTGTTTACCTGAAGGCCAGGGAAGGTATCACTGCTGAAGACAACACATTCATTAACAACACATCACTCACTCTACCATTGATTTGTGTCTCTTATAGGCGGCGCCGACGCTAACAAAGGAAAGTCCAAGAAATGGAAAAAGATTTTACAGTTTCCTCACATCACTCAATGCGTGGATATTAAAGACAAATTAGGTATTGATTTGATTTGCCATTAGTGCTGATGGTTGTGATGACGGACCAACTCATTGATTTAATGATTTGTTTTTTCAGACATAGACTTTAATTATATTGTGGATCAACAGCCAATCGGTCGGCTATTGTTCCGACAATTTTGTGAAACAATACCTCAATATTACAAATGCAATCATTTTCTCGATGCAGTCGTAAGTTATGTTTATTTGATTATCTATTTTTGATTTAAACCAAATTACGGATATTATAGTAATATATTATTTTTTAATTAATAAATGAAAAAATCTTATTTCATATTAATTATCAATTTGACAAAATAATATACAGGTATATACCTCTATATATATATATATATATATATATATACACTGTATATGTTAATATAATGATAGTTATATACTGTATTAGCATGGACAATTTGAATAATTATTACAATATACGGGTATAATATTATATATTTCAAAAATACTTTATTAATGTATAATTAGTTTCTAATTTCAAACATTAAGTATAAGATTTATGTTAAAAATTATAATATTACGGTATATATAGTATTATACTATATTTTTATATTACCGGTAATGTTTTTTTTAATAAAAATATAATGCGGGTATATTTTATTCTTTATTTTTGCTATTTTACAGTATTATTATTTACTTACGATAATATTATCAGAATTTGAATAAATATTTGCAATAATTTGGATATTTATACATTATGTGTAAAATGTATTTATGGGATTTATTTGATAATAGCTCTGTTGATTGTGTAAATTATCGTAATGTTACAAATTTTCTATTAAATTATTAGTATTTTAAAATTTGATAATAAAATATTGTTTATTAGTAGACGTTGACTATATACAGTATATGCCGGTTATGAACTACAGTATTATTAATATTAATTAATTGATTAATTAACAGGAAAATTATGAGTTACAGTTTGATGAGGACCGGGCAGTTGTTGGCCAAGAGTTTGTAGTGAAATATTTAACCAAAGATAGCGCACATTATGTCGATATACTGGAAGAATCGTTAATAACTAAATGCAAGAATAATTTGCATACATATAATAAAGAGTTGTTCGCTGAGTGCGCACAGTATGTAATCATACATTTGATTTGTCTGTTTTGATAATTGATTGATTGATTAGATTTTTTTTTGTTTTTTCACGTTTTACAGAGCAGTCAAAGATTTTTTATCAAAAGATCCTTTTAGTGAGTTTGAAAAAAGCAAATATTTTTTACGATATTTACAGTGGAAAACACTGGAAAATCGTTTAGTCAATGCCAAAACATTTAGGATGTATAGAGTGTTAGGAAAGGGTGGTTTTGGTGAGGTGTGTGCCTGTCAAGTGAGGGCAACCGGTAAAATGTATGCCTGTAAGAAGTTAGAAAAGAAACGCATTAAAAAACGAAAGGGAGAGAGTATGGTATTGATTGAGAAACAAATACTACAGAAAATTAATTCACGATTTGTTGTGAGTCTGGCCTACGCTTATGAAACCAAAGATGCACTTTGTTTGGTATTGACTATCATGAATGGCGGTGACCTCAAGTTTCACATCTATAATATGGGCGGTGAACCCGGTTTTGACTTAGAGAGGTCTCGGTTTTATGCCGCAGAAGTGACACAAGGGTTAGAGCATTTGCACACTCAGGGAATTGTTTACAGGGATCTGAAACCAGAAAATATTCTACTCGATGACCACGGTTTGTATCAATGATTTATTTTCATTACATTTAATTACATAATTTTGTTTGAATACTTAGGACACGTAAGAATATCCGACTTAGGATTAGCCATAGAAATACCAGAAGGAGAGTCAGTTAGAGGAAGAGTTGGAACTGTGGGTTATATGTCTCCAGAAGTGATCGATAATGAAAAATATACATTTAGTCCGGACTGGTTTAGTTTAGGATGTCTTATATATGAAATGATTGAGGGAATGGCACCTTTCAGGGCGAGGAAGGAAAAGGTATTATTTTATATTATTAGGAAACTAATTGAAATAAACTGTACGGAAGTCGATAAAACAATTACATCATCTTATTAGTGACCAATTATTTCAAGTTTTATTGAGATAATTATAAAATAAATATTTTTTGAAATTAATTTTAGGTAAAACGCGAAGAAGTGGAGCGACGAGTAAAAGAAGAGAATGAAAAGTATTCCAACAAATTTAGCGAAGACGCGAAAGCCATTTGTCAAGCGGTCAGTCATTTAATAATATTTTAAATATTTATTTTAAATGTTTATATAATAGTTGCTGAAGAAAGATCCCAAACAAAGACTTGGCTGTTCGAGTGGACGGTTGGGTTCTTTCGAAGTGAAAGCGCATGAATTTTTTAAAATAATTAATTGGAAACGACTTGAGGCCGGAATACTAGAGCCACCCTTTGCACCCGATGTAAGATATTGTGTATTTTTGAGTTATGATTACCGGTAATTAATTATGAATTGAATTTGATTGCATTGATAGCCACACGCCGTTTACGCAAAAGACGTGTTAGACATCGAACAGTTCTCGACCGTAAAGGGCGTGAATCTGGATGCCAGTGACGACACGTTTTATAGCAAATTTAGCACCGGTTGTGTATCGATTCCGTGGCAAACTGAGATGATTGAAACTGAATGTTTCAAGGAATTGAGTGCTTTCGGACCTAACGGTGTGCTTACACCAGATCTCATGTTTGACTGTCCACCTGTTGAAGAGTCAAAGGGTTGTTTCCCGTTTCGCAGAAAAGCAAAGAAAAGAGACATTAAGAGCTCATATTCAGCGACAAACGACCACTTTTCACATCTGTCATCCTCGGGAACAGAGGCTAAGGAGGCGGCGATGACTCGTTCGCAGCCAACGCCTTCCGGAGACAATGTTAATCCAATGGTTTCGTTAAACAGTTAATACGATTTTTCTAAATATTTATTACTACTTAACTCTACTTCTTTCACCATTAACTCCGTTCATACAAACAAATTGTTGTTACCTTTACTACCTGTTTATCTATATTTCTATTAAATATTCATAACATTAACAGCCAGTTGTCATATAAGTCATACATAACATAACAAAATATATGATTAGTTATATTTACGACAAGTTTGTTTCAATGCACTACAACCCAGTCATACAGTTAAAGCACCGGTTCTTTGATTCAAACTTAATGTATAAATAGAGTTAGAATTTAATTTGAATTTTAATGAATCAATTGATGCCAATTGATAGATATGTTGTCTGTTTGAATGAGCGATATGTGCCATAATGTAACTAAATATATATATAAACCAATTGTGACATCACTCGTATCTATACTTTTTTAAATACAATTAATTAAAAGTAAACATATCATCTCTACTCTCCATTATATATATATATATCTATTCCATTGCTGTCCATCTCTTAGAGTATTTTTATTCACTATTTTAGACCATTTTTTCTATTGAATGACTCATTTAAATCATTCATTAAAAAACTCACCCATGTTTTTAATTTATATAACAAAATTGTTTTAAGTTGATAATAATAATAATAATGATAATAATCACTATTGTAATTAATTTATATGAATTTATATATATAAATATACTTAAGCAATTATCTATGTCAAAACAATTATTGAATTGTTTTTAGACACCAATCAAATCACTATAAATGAGTTATCAATGGCTCAAAAGATATGCATTTCCTGTAATTTAATATAGTATAAAGCTATTTGTTTATTAAATTAATATTAATTATTAATTGATGTGATTATTATTGATCCATTTGGTCGCTATTGATGTGTGCTGTGATTAAAGTAATTAAACTAAATTTAAATGAACACCCGCTTGATCTTAAACACACTAAGTCTTGATTTTAATTAATATCAATTAAATGCTAACTCAATGTAATGTCGATATTATATATAGAATATATGGTATTAGCGGACAAATTGTTTAATTTATTTAAGTTTGTATTATTATAGCCATAATGTATTTATTATTAAAAATTAATTAATTTAATAAAACCTTTAAATCAATAACTATGTTTATTATTGCTATATATATTGAATTGAATATTGAAACACTTTAATTTTTATTACCTTAATTAATAATATATTTATAATATACTGAGTTAATAATTTTGATTGCAATTAATACAATACATAATTTACAGTATAATGTAATCATATACTACTGTATAAATGACTCAGTTATTAACAGTAATTATAATAATTTATTTTAATTTTAATTTAATAATTATTGTCTCGTTATTAATTATATTATAAATAAAATCTTGTTATTTAAGCGCAAATTTGATATCAACTTTTAAAAAATATATCGGATATATAATCGATACGTTTAGATAACAATTTTGTTGATTGACTTATTATTGTGATAATCAGTGATCAAATGAGTGATAGTAATACACTAACTAATGATTTACTTGAGGGCCATGTGATTGAATGTCGCATTTGTTACCAGACTTTGGACGCCAATAGCTTTTGCAGCGGTCAGGTCATCAATCCTTGCAATTGTCAGGGAATGTATGCTTTCGCACACAAGACATGTCTTGAGGCCCGACTTCAACGTACGGCACGTGTAATGTGTGATATATGTCGGTTCGCATACATTATGACCCGTAAACCCAAACCACTTCATAGTTGGTTAATGTCTTTTGCGTGCAAAGACTATTTCATCGAAATAATGATCCAAACGTTTAATATTTTAATTGTTTTGATTGTCTGTCATCTGATTTTGACAGACAGTAGAGCCAAACTACCAAAGCTTTTATTGTCTTCACTCATGGTTTTCCAGTTAATCCATTTGTTTCTCTTAATAATCTTTTGGATACAATTTGTTCTCAAGTCTCGACACGATATGAATGAATGGAAAATAAGTAATTTTTTTGTATCGGTTCAACAAAATCCCGATTACAGACTCGACAAACGTTATCTACGGCCGCGTTCACCGGTCAGAGCGTCCGGTGCTTTCGAGTCAACATCTCATCAAAAGTCTAACTAATTGTTTAAAATTAATTTCTTAATATAATTTTAAACAAATCAATTTGTATGAATATTTAACTGAATTTTACAAAGTTTTTATTAAATATTTAATTATTAAATAAATCATTGATTATTATCAATGATTAAAGCATTTAAAGCTAAGTTGAGTGCAGTTTATGTTTTCAATGATATGCAAACTCATTGAAAAGTTTGTGTAAATTGTGTTAATTTAAAATTTATTAATTTTGTAAATCATAATAATCTATATTATATGATAATTATTTGTCAATTATTACTGTTTAAAATTAAATTAAAATTATTAATTAAATGACAATAAAATACTAATTCCTATCAATGAAAGCCAATATTATATTTCAATACTTTAGTAGACATTAGCGCCAAACTGTTTGAAGCACTCAAACAATACACGCAATCGCTGTAAACAATAAACACATTCAAAACATGTGATCCAATGTATGGATAAATTAAGTAATTTTACCGACAATTGTCCTGAAAATGATTACTTTTACCTCAGGTTTGACTTTCAGTGATTCACAGAATCGTGTTATTGATTAATGATCTCATTTTGGTGACCGTCAGCTCATATTTGATGAACAAATATATTGACCAATGAATCGGTGAGCGATGTGGCGGCAGTGGTCACGATTGTTGCCGCGTATTGTCCCAACAATTGGTGACAGTTTAGCCAACAAATTATATTTAATAGTTTTGTATACAAAGAGTCTCTTTTTCAACATTCATGTGGACTCGGGTTATATTGCGGACACATTATTAGAGCCAATGTTTTGGTTTGTCGACAACTTTACGCACATATTAGGACCGGTCAGTGATATATACCGTATATATTATGCGATGAAATGAGGACACGAACTCATCTCTAAATATCTTTGTTTATGTTGTCGCAGGTCTTTGTTATTTCAGTTATCACTCTTTTAGTTGTATTTGTATTGATTGCATACGTTGTCGGTCTGTCGTATTGGTGGCCGACAAACAAATTGGTTACATATATAGCATTAGTGATCGGCCATTGGTTGCTAATTAATGTCAGTTATCACTACTATATGGCTTATACAACACTTCCCGGACATCCACCGGAGGTATAATTTATAGTCAATCATTTCATTTCTAAAATTATTTAAAAAAGGACCAATTGATGGCCGAAGTGGTCTCATTTTGTAAGCGATGTATTGCCCCGAAATCGGCCCGAACTCATCACTGTTCGGTCTGCAATCGGTAATAATTTAATTGCAAATTAATTGTTTCTTTTGGGTATTTTAAGTTGATTTGAGTTACATCTGATTTGGCATTTAATATTAAACCATTGATTATCTGTTAGATGCATCTTAAAGATGGATCATCACTGTCCGTGGCTTAACAACTGTATCGGTCATTACAATCATCGCTATTTCTTCATGTTTATGGTGTACACCTGGTTGGGCACTATATTTGTCATGATATTCGGCTTTCAGATAGCTTATGAACATTTCTGGCCACCCGTAGAAACCGAGTCTCAATCTGATCTCAAATTATCAGTAATTTAGATACAAATTTATCGGTATTTATTGTATTTATAAATATTTTTTTCAAAGAATTCAACTATCATTTCCATTGATTCGTTAAATTATTGGAAACATAAGTGCATTATCTTTGAAGGACTCACAACAATCGGTATATTTGTTGCTTTGGGTATGTATTGTATTTTAGTTATAATTATATACAGAATGTTAATCATTTAACGACAACGACAGGTGCTTTAATGGCCTATCACTCACTACTCATTACAAGAGGTGAGACCTGTATTGAGCGACATATTAACAAAAAAGAGACCAAACGTTTGTCACAAATCGGGAAAAAATTCATAAATCCATATGATTTCGGTCCGCGAGATAATTGGCGACGTTTTCTTGGCCTCAATCGGCCCGGAAAATGGCTTAATGTGTTAATTCCGTCAACATTTCAGCCAAATGGTGATGGAATCACATGGTTAACAAACAACAATTTTAGGCAAAAATTATGAATACAAATAAATTTTTTATTTAATATAATATTTCATTATTCATAAATATAGGTTAAATAAATAAAAATTAATATTTCAACACTTGAGAAGCGGATCACTCATTAAACTTATGATTCATTTAAAGGCACTTAAAGCCAAAAATGGACATTAATTTAAAATTGTTAGTACAGTATACAGAGGTTTAACTCAAAAACTATAATTTTTATGGCTTATTAACACGATTTTGTTAAAAACATTAAAGAAAATCGTTTAACCATATCTTTGGTATTACATAACCATAATTTAGTCATTAATTAGCCAAATATAACAGTCCAAACTTTAACAGTGCCGTCGTGTCCGGTCGACACTATTGTTGACTCGTCTAACCATTCAATACGTGTTACTTGACTTTGAGGATGAGCTTCTGTTTAATGAAGGTTTTAATTTTAGAAATTGAGATAAATTATGTAAAAAATTAGAATTATTTACTTTTGAGAGTAAAGTGTTTATTAGGTTGGGATGCGTTCCATATGATGATACCGGTGTCCAATGAACCCGAAGCCAAATGTATAGAATTGGGAGACCAGGACAGACAATTGACTCGAGCCGTATGGTAACCCCACTCAAGTTCATGTGCTAACTGTTAACGTAAGACATCATTAGTTAAAAATTATTTTCATTTAACATTTGATATCAAACCTCATAAGAGTCAGACAAATAGAGAACTATTTTCCTATAAAACAAATATCGATATTATGTTAGTATTGTTTTTTGTGGTAATAATTGTTACCTATTCTGGTCAGAAGCGGCCAGATATTTGCCATCCGGAGAGTAGATGACATCAGTAATGGGCGCTCTTTGATCTAAAACTGTTTTTTCAGTCAAATTAGTGCCGCCGAGTATATAGATATGTATTTTATGATCCTTAACTCCGCCGACCGCCACTTCTTTATTACTTTGATTAACACTTACAGATGAGGGCTCATAGGAAACTGGAATCGATGATTGTTTGCCATAATTGCTAACATTAGTATATATACTGATGGTGTCATAACCGGCCACTATTACTAACTCCTGATCTTCGAGAACTGCCACTCCATGTGGTTGTGAATCTAATTTGATTTCGTTTGAGAATTTATTCTCATTGGTGTCTATCGTACGAATCCTATCGTCATAACCAACACTAAATACGGTATTCTTAGTTAAGGCCAGATCTGCCACTTGATTGGTGTGACCTTTGCCTTCAATACGATTGTGGTCTCCATTTTGTGGATTCCAATAAGTGATATATCCATCAGTACTTCCCGTATAAATATATTTCTCGTTTGAGTTCTTATTGACTGTTAAGGCAGTGATAGTTTTATTATGACCTTTAACTATACGTAAAGGTTTATTCGGGTTATTGACATCCAAATAATTGATGAAACCCGACAATGAAACGGATAACATGTATTGGTTTTGCCACAAACAGCTCACTTGTTGATCCAAGATATCGGTTCCCATTTGGAATTCAGTAACGACTTGAAGTGTATTTGTGTCCCACAGTTTGCATGTCTTATCTCCAGAAGCAGTCAACAGCTGTGAACCATCCGGTGACCAGTGAATGGCATATATACCACCGGAATGTGCGGGACTTCCAAATTCACCGACTTTACTGTAATCATTAGTTTTATATAAAAATAATTTGCCATCAAAGCCGGCGCTGGCAAATAGATCGCCATTGGGTGCAAATCGTACTGATTGAACAAATCGTTGGTGATCTTCAAGTTGAGTCTTAAATTTAAATGGTGGGCCTTCATAAATGCCAACAAAGTTGTCTTCACTACCAGTTATTATACGGAAAGGACGACCGGGACGAAAATCACATGAATTTATAATTTTTGAGTGACCGGCAATTTCGCCGACAGAGGTACCCGTTTCCATCATAAATACGTGACCAAAGCGCTCGCGTCCCTCACCGACAGCAACAATACGTTGACTATCCGGAGACCACGCGAGGTCTTTAATGTTACCGACAAACGGTTGGAATTCATTCTTCAGGATGTGTTCCTTCTGAGTCGTGTCCCAAATGCGGACTTTGCCCGACTGGTCGGCCGAACAAATGTAAAATCCGGACGGACTATATTTGGCAACAGTTGTTAACGTTGAGTGTTCCGTATAGATGTCGGCGATGGACGGGTTGTCAATGTCTCGGATGATAATACTGTTACCATTAGGATAGAGAAAGTTCTTGCCTTTGGGGTCACCGCCCAACACAAGAGGCAAACCTCTTTGAGTTCGAGGAAGAGTAGCAAAGGTGTTACCTATCAGTTGATACCATGGATTATCATCAGTGGTAATACTATAAGACAATTCACCGATACTCACGATTTTGAAGCATTTTTTAATTCTTTTGAATAATTCTAACCACAATATTATCTTTTAAATCAACAAATGAATGGTTTATATGACACCTAATTCAGTGTCTTTTCAAATGATTTATTTGTTTATCACAAAAGTTTGTCACAAGTTTTGGGACAAACAGTGGTTTAATTGAAAAACAAATGCAATGTTTTGACACAAAAGCTATGCTTTCTATGAGTTGAATGAATGTATGCTTTAAATTGAATCAAACGAAACACCCATTTATGCCTTAATAGGAAATATTGTCGAAAGTCATAGCATTCACAACATATGACATAACAACTAATGTTAAGTCACACTATCTATTGGTTCATATTATATACATTCACAGTATCTATAGATTCTATACTGTATTTATAACACTGTTTGACATTTAAATATCTATTAAATTATCATTAATTTAACCAACAATTCCATCATTATATCAATTATATTAATAACAAAATTATTAGTTATTCATATAATACTGACTATTGTTACTAACATTTATCCATTCATTATATTATAACATTCAACTATAGGTATACTGTAATGTACTATACTGTACATACAGTAAAGTAATATAAAGTATTAGAAAAGTTTTACAAATACAAAAAAATGTGTGCAGGTCATAAATGCAATATTATGTACTGTACCATGATCATTTTGGATCATTTTGGACCATTTAATGTCATTTAATATCATTTTGGTCACCGATTGATATTCAAATAAGACTTTTAGTGTGACTTTTTATCAAATGATGATTGATTTGCATATAATTAATGAATACTAATAGCAATACTAATAGAAATACATTATTAATATTAGGAATAACTGTCAAACAATTAGTCACTGAATTTGTCACAAATATTGTATATATTATTAACTTTGACTATATATAGGTGTAAGTCATAGAATGCACTCATTAGTAGTCAATCTTACAATTAAATAGTGATTCGATTGAATCGATTGATTGTTTGTAGGCTTTTATATATCGAATGATTGATTGATTGATTGGTTAAAGTATTGTTAGAATCTGTCTCTCATTGATATCCAGTCTTACAGACCATCACTGAGACGACAATATTGACTATCATTGATGTCCTCATCAGTGGTCACTCCAGAGCTCGAGTATAGCGATGAATGTGTGGCTTATTTGATGAACAAAGAGAAGACAAGACGTGATTTCATTGATCGGTAAGTGTTTGTCAATACATATGATGTGAGTCATGATTTAGTGGTGTCTTAATGACAGATCACCACAAAAGGACTTCCGTTACGATCTCGTGCAAAGACTACACGTGTTATGTGAGTGTTTGAATTACTCGACACGTGTCAAACATTTGTCAGTATATTTGTTGGACTATTTTATGGACAATCATATGATCATTGATGAGAACCTTGAGTTGACAGTTGTGTGTTGTTTAGCCATTTCAGGTGACCTAACCATACCCTATCATACCCTACCATAACAGGTAGGGTTTCCATTGACTAACAGCTCTCAAGTGACTAAACTTTTTATTCTTTGATTAATATCAGTTAAAACGGAAGAAAGTGACCGAACCATCAAATACAAGGAACTGTTAACCGAATCGGATCAGTACTCTATGTCTGAGATTTTGAAGATGGAATCCATTATTTTAGAGTTCTTTGAGTGGCAACTATTAATGCCAACGGCTGCCACTTATATAGACTATTTTAGTCACACTTGTCTGCCCGAAGTGGACTTAAATGACAACAAAACCAAACAAGTGATCGACAAGTATTTGGATAAAACACTGGGTATTTGATTAAAAACTTGATGACTAATAACTAACTAATTTTGTATAATAGATATTCAGTTCTATCGGTTCCGACCATCATTGATAGCAGCGGCCACTATATATTATACCAGAAATAAACACCAATTGGTTCCATATTGGCCACGATATGCACTAAATATCACTAAATACACAGTCAATGAACTGATGGATTGTATTAATGAGTTGTTAGTATTAATTTGATTAAAAAAATGGGTTTTTTATAATAATTAGAATTTATTTTTTATAGAAAAAAGTTTGATTTCCTAACCAAACCATCCAAACGATGTATTCAATTGAATGATTCGGGTTTTGATGAGTTGTTAAAGTTTTAGTATAAGTTTTGTCTAATTATATTTAACGTTAATTTTTTGGTATATTTTATTTTTGATGTAAATTTGTTGATAAGATATTTTGTAAGTTTATTATTGTCGATAAAGTAATGTTTTATAAATTAAAATATTTGATCTCATTTTTAATTGTATTATTA